AACAACAACAACAACAATCACAACAACAGCAACAGCAACAGCAACAACTAGAACAACAACAACAGCAACGACAACAACGACAAGCACAACAACAATCACAACAATGTTGTCGTTGTGGTTGTTGTTATTGTTGTTGTTGTCGTTGTTGGTGTCGTTGTTGGTGTCGTTGTTGTTGCTGCTGTTGTTGCTGTTGTTCTTGTTGTGCTTGGTGTTGTTTCAGTCGTAGTCGTCGTTGTACTAGTCGTAGTAGTAGTTGTTGTAGTTGTGGAAGTAGTCGTCGTCGTTGTCGTTGTAGTTGTAGTTCTAGTTGTTCTAGTTGCTCTAGTTGTAGTTGTAGTTGTAGTAGTTGTTGTTGTTGTTATTGTTGTAGTTGTTGTCGTCGTCTTCGTCGTTGTCCTTGATGTTGTCGTTGTCGTTCTGGTTGTTGTTCTTGTTGTCGTTTTGGTTGTTGTTGTTCTTGTCGTTGTCGTTGTCGTTGTTGTTCTTGTTGTTCTTCTTGTTTTTTGTCGTTTTCTTCTTCTTCTTCTTGTTGTTGTTGTTGTTTTTGTTGCTGCTGTTGTTGTTCTTGTTGTTGGGACTGATGCTGATGATGATCATGATGATGATGGTGGTGATGATGATGATGATGAGTTGTTGAGAATGAAGCTGATGATGATGATGATGATGATGATGGTGATGATGATGATGCTGATGATGCTGATGCTGATGCTGATGCTGATGATGATCATGCTGATGATGATGATGATGATGCTGCTGATGCTGATGCTGCTGATCCCACCCTGCACCTTTTGGCCTGCTGGCCCGATGTTGGGCGTCAGCCCCTTAAATCCGGCCAGGGGCCCCCTGGCCGTGGCATTGCCGTAGGCGTTTCTCTCCTCTCCGTAGGAGAGAGGGGCCGCCGCCTCAGCCGCCGACCCACTCCGTCCGGCCAAAAACCCCGCGTTTTACGGTGTTTCGTGCTCTTACCATTTTTTCCACTTTTTCGGATCTTGTGGCTCAAGATGGGTCAACATGGGACAACATAGGCCCCAAGATGGGTCAACATAGCCCCAACATGGGGCAACATAGCCGCAAGATGGGCCAACATAGCCCCCAAGATGGGCCAACATAGCCCCAAGAAGGGCCAACATAGCCCCAAGAAAGGCCAACCTAGCCCCCAAGATGGGCCAACATAGCCCCAAGCTGGCCCACCTTGCCCTCAAGATAGGCCAACATAGCCCCAAGATGGGCCCACATTGCCTTCAAGATAGGCCAACATAGCCCCAAGATGGGCCCACATTGCCCTCAAGATAGGCCAACACAGCCCCAAGATAAGCCACCGACCATCAAAATATCTTGCGTTTTACAATGTTTTTTGCTGGTCCCATTTTTTGGATCTTTTGGCTCAACGTGGGTCAACGTAGGCTTCAAGATCGGCCAACCTAGGCCGCAAGAGGGCCAACAGAGCGCCAAGGTGGGCCAACATAGTCTCAAGATGGGGCAACATAGCCCTAAGATCTTGCTCCCAGCTAGGGCCCCTGGCCGGCTGTCGCGCGTAAGCGCTTAAATCCGGCGATGCCTCGCCGTTTGGTGGTGTTGCTAAGCGCATAGCTTTAGCTACCCGCGGCCGCGCCCCCGCCGCCAACCTTGTGAAAAATCCTTCAGAGTGCTGGGGTTTTCACGTTTTTGGGGGTTCGGGGTGGGAAAAAAGATGGTAAAATTTGAAGATGCGTTTTGGAGGTCCTTGTTGGGCGTTTTTTGGTCGATTTTTGGTCAATGTTTCATATTTTTTTGGTGTCCACGAGTAAAAATCGTGTAATTTACAATGTTTTTATGCCTTTGGCATCCAAAAAAAGCTTCTGACAACATGCTGGAAACTGCGTAAATACCAGTGTTTTTGCTAGGCCCGGGCCACAAAACACTGTAAATACCGTGATTTTTGCTAGCAGAGGCTCAAAACCTCGTAAATACCGTGGTTTTGCGTTGGCGCGGAGCCAAAAACATCGGTATTTGCGGTGTTTTTTGTTCCGAGAACGTGAAAAATCGCGAAAACACCGCCTATTTGACGCTTTTTGGGGGTTTGCAAAAACCATCTATTTGACGATTTTGGGGGGTTTGCAAAAAGTAAATATGCTTTGCAGGCTGCCGTGGTGAAGAGGGCATTCCATGCTGACATCATACCGACGGCACTGATCAAGGACAGTTTGTCTTAAGGGGCACACGCTTGCAATTTTCTCTCGTTCGGTTGGCACAAGCTCCGACCTCACGCTTGATCTCAAACATCAGCGCTCTCGAATGCCTATGGAATCGACGATAAGTTTCATGAATCAGTTTGGTTAAGTATGTAAGTTTGAATGATTGAGAATGATGTTCTATGTCATCTATCAAAAACAGTGTGCAATGACCTGCACGCTGCACCTCTCTCCATATGTACACATTACCTGTGTGGCGCGTGGTCTTTACACATCCGATGAGCCTGAGGGGACGGGGGTCACATGCGCCCGTACTACATAAATGAAGGTCACATTTGCCCCTACCCAACCCACATCAAGATATAGGGGGGCGGGATGGGTGTGAGGGAGGGAGCAAGGGAACAGGAAGGGTGGGAAGGGGGGCGGGGGTGGGTCTGAGGGAGGGAACAAGTAACAAGGCACAAGGGGTTGGGAAGGGGCCAAATGTCATGAACACATGCGGCAGCGCGAAACAAGCCGCAAAGCCTCTGCTTTTGCACAGTTGGCGCGGAGCCTCCTACAACCTTCCAGAACCCCTGCCACCCCTCAATGCACGGGGGTCACAGCCCGGCCTTCAAGCTTTCCACTTTGAACGGTCGGGACGGCGGTCGCGCCGAACACAACACACCCAAGCTTGGGAGAGAAAGGTTTGCATTGTTCGATGACGCTCAAAAAAAAAACAACAATTGTCCCAAATGATCAATGATGATGACGACAATGATTCAAAAATGATGATGATGATGATGATGATGTTCACGAAATCGTCTATGTTTCGCAGCCGTGGTATATGGGCAAAAGTACACATGCACTCAGTGATATGAGGGTGACATCACCACGCCAACTTGGCCAGCTTGACCTAGAACCCGAAGGAAGTATCATGGTCTTAGCTGTCTCGGTCGATTGTGGTGAACGGCTGATTTTGGTGATCTGGTTAACCCAACAATAGGCAACCAAAACGCAGACTTCCTTTTCGCAAGCGTCGCAAAAATGCCTCCCTTGGAATGCCTCCGACTGTGTCACAGTCCCTCATGGCCGCCAAGGGCCCCACCCCAGGCCCCGAGAAATGCAGCTCAAAAAAATCATGACCAAAAACGAAGAACTTCCACACCGTTTGGTTGGATATTTAACATGTTTATGGTAAATCTGCCATTCATATGAAACAAACTTTTTTGCTAGTTTGGGTGGAAGTTGAAACCAAAAGCTGACAACTGCTATCTCAGGAAGCTGGGAGCTACAGCGCCAGGGCAAACTCTGGGCTCTCTAAGCGTGCAGAAAACTTATTGGGCGAAATCAAGGAGCCCAGAATGGGACGCAAACGCGATACCACAAAAATGAATGAAAACGGCTGAAATGAAATGGTTTCTGCAATTTCTGCCAACATACCAACTTGAAATTGGACATAATGTTGGTGATCCGAAGCTTTGTAAACTGGGCAGCTACGATTGCGAAAACAGTGGTCGCCGCAGTCTATCCTAACTGAACATCAAGCAGGGCTCGCACCAGCAACACCAAGCTGGAGAACCAACGGGTTCGGCCTGGAAAAGGTATTCGTCAATGATGTCTGAACAAATTCGGATATCCAAATGTCAATTGCTTTGCCCGTAGCGCTGTTGCAGGGCTTCTTGCAAGGCTTCCCTTGAATCACATGATTTCCTTTGTAACATCTTTACAACTCCGCTTTTGGAAGGTGTCCCTTTCCTGGAACGGGTCATCCAAAATTCTGGAACATGATGATGTGCTGAAACGGCTCTTCATCTCTCAAAACTCGCTTAAGCTGCTCAGAGATTTCATCTGTCAGCGATTCTCTTCAAATCCAGGTCGCTAAACTGCCAACACATGAAAGCGCAAGAAGAAAGCCAGCCTCCTCTCCGGCAAGAGCAGCTGCAACAGCATGAAGGATATCCACATCACTTGTCGCCTGGGGATTAGTACTCCAATGCTGCGCCAACTCAGTCTGGCAAAACCAATGAACCACACACATCACTTTGCCGCCCTGCAAAACGCGATTGAAAACATCATATGAAAATGCCCAACATTGTGCGTTGTACATATGGGGCTGGTAGGAAAACCAGGGAAATCTAGGCCCGCGACCCCCAAAGGATTCTCTGGAAAAGCGATTCCTGTCATTTGGACTCATTCAGGAGCCAGCGCCCATTGATTAAATTCAGTTAGGCCAGCTCCTCATGGCATTGCCACAAATTTATTGAGGTTTCCTCCAGATCTGAGCGACACGCCCGCTGCAGCCAACGCAGCGTCATCTTGCAAATCAACAGGCCCCTGTTCAGGCGCAGAACGCTATTGGGAAGCAGCTGTGGGGGAGGTCGGTGAGAGAGATGGTAAAAACATGTAAAAACAAATAACCAATAGCACCGCACAAGGCGGCGGCCGAAGTTTCAAAGATAGGAGGCTATAGGACGTTTTGGCTTGCGGCATTGCACAGTTGCCAGAGCAAGCCACTCACGGAGCGACATGTGGATTTGTGTCTGTGTGTCTGTCTATCTATCCATTTATCTAGCTATCTATCCATCCATCCATCCGTTTATCCATCTGTCCACCTGACTATCTATCCGTCTTTCTGTCTATCTGTCTGTTTGTCTATCTGTCTATCTATCTAGCCATCTGAGCATCAATCTGACTACCTATCTATCTGTCTATCTGTCTGTCTCTGTCTGTGCTTGTCTCTGCCTGTGTCTGTCTGTGTCTGTCTGCGTCTGTCTGTGTCTGTCTGTGTCTACCTATCTATCTATGTATCTATCCACCTATCTATGTACCTATCTATCTGAACTATCTTTCTATCTATCCATCCAACTATCTGGCTAATATCTATCTCTTTATGTATGTATCTATCTGTTTATCTATCTATCTCTCTATCTATCCATCTATCTTTCCATCTATCTATGTTTTTCTATCTATGTATCTTTCTGTCTATCTATCTACCTATCTATCTATCGATCTATGTGTCTTTCTATCTACTTGTCGATCTACCGATCTATCTGTCTATCTATCTATCTATCTATCTGTCTATCTGTTTATTATTTCCCTATTTATTTATCTGACTTCCTCTCTATCTATGTGTCTATCGACCTATCCATCTGACTATCCATCAGACTATCGATGAAACTATCAACGAATCTATCTATTATCTATCTACCGATCTATCTATCCATCTTTCTTTCTTTCTGTATTTCTTTCTTTCTATCTATATATTCATCTATCCATCCATCTATCAATCTATTTATCCGTCTATCAATCAATCTATCTATCTTTCTAACTAGCTTTCTGTCTTTCTATCGAAACTTGCTCCGAGGCCTTCAATTTTTAACACGTTTTACTTCGACGCGCTTCGCGCCTAGGCGCCGTGCCGCTTTACCGCGCGTGATCTTCAAAAAGTGGTCCCAGAATATTGTGATTTGACACTTGTTGCTTTCAAATGCGCTTTGCGCCCAAGCAGCGCGCCACTTTCAACCACTCACGTCGGCAGCCACCTGCCGCTTTATCGAGCCTCCTTTTTTTGAACGTTGTGTTTCGCGACTTGTCTATAATTTCCCATGCGCCTGCATCTTCGTTCTTCACACACGTCTAACTACTCTGCTTGCAGTTCTCCATAATGTCGGAAGTTTGACTTCTAAATTTTCTCGATCGTCAAAATATCGTCAAATAAATGCACGATTTCAGTCAAACGCTTCTTTTCTTATCATCATATACACCCTGAAAATATCTTGATGATTGCACACTTCCCGTGCCATCGCCGAATTCTCTCTGACATGCGGGTTGACATTTGTTTTGCCAATGCCTCTTGCATGTTAGGTCTGCTGTTCTCCTCTGATCATGATTAAGAAAAGGACAGAACACCTGACATGTTCACCTGAACAGAATGCTGCGACACATGTTCGTCCGTTTGACGTTTCTTCTGCATCACACTTGGCATTTTCTCTGACAAACCTACTGCCCCACAGGCTGCTAGGCACGCCGCCCCTTTGCGTTCACTACTTGATATGGGCAAATGTTAAGAGTTTAGCATGGCCCTGAAGCCTCCACTGGCATGTCCTGACACAAGGGGCAAGCAACCATAAACGAAAAAAAACAAGGCACCGCTGAAAATCCAAAGCTCCTGCAGTGCCGGCTGTTGCCACTCGACCTCTGCCTCCACAGCACCCAAGACAATGCGAAGTTCAAAGCGCCAGCTCAGCGTCAAAGTCATGTCTCGGATCCTGGGCAGAACGATCCAGAACGGAACTTCCCCAACGTATAACCAACCTAGAATCACCAAACTGGTCACGTCCAAGGGTCAAAACGCGACGAACCTTGGCTGGCAGGACAGACCTTAGAATCCACATGGCCACGTAAGAAAAAAAACGGTTCGTTCAGTGATGCCCACTGTGACATTTTTTCTGATCATCTTATCTCGTATGACATATTATTCAAACAGATTGCAACGTTCTGTCTGGCATTCTTTTGGTATATAATTCGATATCCTCTGGCAGTCTAGCTGACATTCACTCTGCCGTTCTATGCATTCTATCGGGGCTGGAAAAGGGGGGGATCGAACAATTCCAACAAAATCTAGAGCCCGGGAAGGCGGGGAAAACATTACACCAAGCGGGCACCCGAAACACAGAAGGAATGCGAGGTGGGATATCTGTTTCTAATGCGGTATACATGTGAAGTTTTCCTTTGTTATATGCTTTGGTTTGCGCAGTATTGAATAGCAATTCCTCAGTACACTTGGAAAATTGCAGGACTGACTTTTTGTATGGCTTGGTTGACGCAGCCGTTTTTGCCAGCTTGTGTCTTGCAATAAAGGACCGGATAACCCCACAAGGCAACTTCTTCCAATAATGAGCGCCAAAGGTTGTAGCAGGGACGGAGAAGGAAGGAAAGGCAAAGGAGGTGGTGAAGGATCGAAAAGTTAAAACAGTTGTGTGTGACAAAGTCGAATGTGAAAGATGGTGTGTGACGAAGGAAGATGGTGTGTAGGTGTGTGACAAAGCAGTGTGTGAAATATGGTGTGTGTGAAAGTTGTGTGTGAAAGAGAGCGTGTGACAAAGTTGTGTGTGAAAGATGGTGTGTGACCAAGTGGTGTGTGAAAGATGGTGTGGCGAAAGATGATGTGTGACAAAGTTGTGTGCGAAAGATGGTGTGGTGAAAGATGGTGTGTGTGACAAAGTTATGTGTGAAAGATGGTGTGGTGAAAGATGGTGTGTGACAAAGTGGTGTGTGAAAGATGGTGTGTGACAAAGTGGTGTGTGAAAGAGGGTGTGTCAAAGATGGTGCCACGCCTGCCACGCAAAACGATGGTGGATGTGAGTTTGTGCCACACCTGCCACGTGAAAATGAAGGTGGATGTCACCAAGTACCACGCCTGCCACGCAAACAGCCGCGGCGTCACGGGCGACAAATCCGGACCAAGTGCGCCACCCAGTCCCATAAGTGCCACATCTGCCACGCAAAACGACGGTGGATGTAAGTTTGTGCCACGCCTGCCACGTGAAATGAAGGTGGATGTCACCAAGTACCACGCCTGCCACGCAAACAGCCGCGGCGTCACGGGCGACAAATCCGGACCAAGCGCACCACCCAGTCCCAAAAGATCCCAAAAGTGCCACGTCTGCCACGCAAGACGACGGTGGATGTGAGTTTGTACCACACCTGCGCCGTGAAACGAAGGTGGATGTCACCAAGTGCCACGCCTGCCACGCAAACAGCCGCGGCGTCACGGGCGACAAATCCGGACCAAGCGCGCCGCCAGTACCATGAGTGCCACGCCTGCCACGCAAAACGACGGTGGATGTGAGTTTGTGCCACACCTGCCACGAGAAATGAAGGTGGATGTCACCAAGTGCCATGCCTGCCACGCAAAGTGTCGCGGCGTCACAGGCGACAAATCCGGACCAAGCGCGCCACCCAGTACCATGAGTGCCACGCCTGCCAGGCAAAACGAAGGTGGATGTGAGAGTGTGCCACGCCTGCCACGTGAAATGAAGGTGGATGTCACCAAGTACCACGCCTGCCACGCAAACAGCTGCGGCGTCACGGGCGACAAATCCGGACCAAGCGCGCCACCCAATGCCATAAGTGCCACGTCTGCCACGCAAAACGACGGTGGATGTGAGTTTGTGCCACACCTGCCACGAGAAATGAAGGTGGATGTCACCAAGTGCCATGCCTGCCACGCAAACAGCCGCGGCGTCACGGGCGACAAATCCGGACCAAGCGCGCCGCCAGTACCATGAGTGCCACGCCTGCCACGCAAAACGACCGTGGATGTCAGGGTGCGCCACGTGGATTGTATGTGAGAGTGTGTGTGTGTGTGTGAGTGTGAGTGAAGTTAGTGGAGAGTGTGCCACGTGGATTGTATGTGAGAGTGTGTGTGTCTGTGTGAGTGTGTGAGTGTGAGTGAAGTTAGTGGAGCGTGAGTGAAGGTATTGTATGTGTGACAAAGTTGTGTGTGTGTGTGAGTGTGTGTGTGTGTGTGTGGTAAATTATTGTATGTTAAGTTTGTGTGTGTGAAGTTATTGTATGTGAGAGATGGTATGTGACAAAGTTGTGTGTGTGTGAAGTTATTGTATGTTAAGTTTGTGTGTGTGAAAGTATTGTATGTTAAATTTGTGTGTGTGAAGTGATGGTATGTGACATGTGTGGAGGATTGTCTGTTAGTTATTGTATGTGAGAGATGGTATGTGACAAAGTTGTGTGTGTGAGTGTGTGTGACAGTGTGGAGGTGAAATTATTGTATGTTAAATTTGTTTGCGTCAAGTTATGGTATGTGACATGTGTGGAGGTGAAATTATTTGTATGTTAAATTTGTGTGTGTGTGTGTGAAGTTATGGTATGTGACAGGCGGGAGGCGGCGGGAGGAGGAGAAGGAGCCCAGGATACAGAATCAAAAACAAGAACCCCACACAAAGTTGTGGGGAAAAACTACAAATTCCCCCAGACATCCCCAGACTGGCGATTCATGAATTCTTACCACTGATAAATTGAAAAGAACCCACTGAAGAAGGTAAACTGTCGTTTTGTGCGCGCTGGCTTTAGTTGGTCGACCTTTTTGTTGCGGTGTTCCGCTGGGTGTGGCTGCAACTTCAAAAGATGCCCAAAACAGAATCTCTTGTCCAGAACCTGAAACGTGTTTGGGCCCGGGCCAAAGAAACCTTTTAGTGTCTTCCCAGAACCGGCAACTATTGGATGGAAACAAAATTTGAAAGGAGGAACTAGTAACTATATATTGAAGCCCCAAAACAAAAGGCTTTGGAGAGGCAGACAGAAAAGCAAGAATTGCAGAGACTTTCGGCCACGAACGCTTAATACCTACACTCGTGTCGGCAGCCACCTCCGCACGCGCCGCTTTAGCGAGCCTCCGCCTTGTTTTGACCGGAAAAACGGCGGACACAAAACGGCGGGAAACACAATGTCTCGCGACTTCTCTATCATTTCGCACGCGCCTGCATCTTCTTGCTTCACACACATCTGACTGCTCTGCTTCCATCTCTCCGTACTGTCGGAAGTTTGACTTCTAAACTTCCTTCAATAATAACAAAGGGGCAAACGTATACTGCAAGCAGGCTACTTGGGAACATTGTCAGGTATACAGTATACAGTTGCATATTTCGAGACAGTCCACCTAAGAAATCCAGGACCGCGAACGCCCGCGTAAAACAAACACGTCAGTTGCACTGTCCAGAGCAAATTGGCGTAAATGGAAGTGAGGTGGGTGAAGGAAGCAATATCATACCAACATTGGAAAGCGCAAAAATGTTCAAAATCTGTTGGCAAAGGTTTTGTTGTCCTTTTAGACTTCTGCTATTCCTTTTCCTCTCCCCTCTCCTTCTCTCACTTCCTTTCCCGGTTGGTCTTAGATATCATTGCCCGTTCACTGCATCTCTCTGGACAAAACACGTGGGAACCGATGCCTTTCTAAATTTGCTGCCCAGTCGCTCATCCAGAAGAACATCCTTCCAACGGACAAAGACAACTATCGCAACGTGGCAATGGAAAATGATGCAAAGCCGTTTCTGTGCCTCAACCTTTTTTGTCGAAACAAAACTCGAAACAAGAAGAATTCATCAAAATCCTACAAAATCATCAATGTGTGTGGCCAATTTGACCTGTCTGGCCAGCAAATTCCAACTGTTGCAGCTCGGCTTGACGCATCTTCACCAAAAATCACTCCAGGCTGGCATGTTTTTTTGGCTAGCATGATGCTCGGTCAGTCACAGGATCAAGCTTGGGGTAATGATGTTGCAAAAGAAGCCCCAGCCCTCCTTCGCAACGTTACCAGTGACCGAGCCAAATTCGCGCACCATGGGCCCATGCAGCCACCTGACGGAAAAACTCAAACTCTTCATACATGAACAGCCTGACCAGCAAAACACGCAGTCCAAGATTGGCCTCTGCAGGTAGCGGGACGCAGCCCACGAATACGCCATTGCGCAGCAAAAAGGAAGGGGCCCAGAAGTCTTACACGGCAGTCTTGGGTTTTGGGCTTGCATGCAACTTACAGGGCCCTGTTGCTATGACTCTATGAGTCTATGAATCTTTAAAATTACGAGCACAAGACTCTAAGCCAATGTATGAAGTACTCAAGGCTCATCGCAGAATACAGCTAGACCCAAATATCTGAGGTTCATCCTCTCAATGTTGGCAGCAGGGATGCAGACATCCCCATCACGTCTTCTGCTTCTTAAAAGGAAATGCTTGGGCGCTAAATGGGAACTCTAGTGGAAAGGTGGAAACAGGCAACATTCCATGGACAACAAGGTAACCGTGTTTGAGACGTCCGGCACTTTTTTTGGGGCCCTCGCTCAAGGTTGCGCTCGCCGGCAGCTTGTCTTGGCACATCTTTCTTCGGCTTCGGGAAGTGGCCATGCTCTGCTGCAAGGGAAACATGGATCGAAACTGCTTCGAAGAGCAAAATCTGAAAGCCGCTGCATCGACCCACAAGTACAGGATAGTGATTCGTAGTTGTCACATTGTCAAACAGCCTTGATTGGCATATGTTTCTGGATCTTGTGGCCAGTGCAGTCCAAGATCTCCAAAGGTTTCTTCAATCGGTTCTCGATGTGAATGTTTATGGCAAGCTTCTGTGAAAGCTTCCACACATGTGTCAGCAAGCTGCGCATCTTCGCAGTTCCGCGCCAGTAACGAAAAGCACTCCAATCCTCTTTCTATGTCAGTGTGGTGTAAGCGGCCTGCGGTGTTGAAGATCCAGATTATGTGTTGAGCGAGCATCCGCTTGACATCCACATGACCTTTCAAATTTGCAAAGAGGCATCTCGCAACTGAGAGCATCACTGGCAACAAACGCATCATATGTTGGGAACTGTGGTGAACCAAGCGATGGAGGAACAAGTTCAGCGCCGTAGCGTTGCAATCCCACCATCTGTTCAATACCTTTGTTCCAGATCTGAAAATGCAACAATAGCCTCAAGGACCCCAGGCTGACACCAACAACTGTACTGAAGAAAACTTAAGCAAACATCAGAAAACTATCATGAAAAGCACAACACCAGGTGATAACTATCCCAAGGTGGACGTTGAAGCAACATGACAGAACTTTTCCACGGTGTCATCCGATCCTTACGCGGAACCACCCTGAAACTTTTGCAGCAACATCCAAAGACTGGTCTGTATCGAAGCGCCCAGCCTTGAAGTCCAGCAGTAAAAACAAAGTTGTAATGGACAATTGCAGTAGGCTTCTGCTTCTCTTCTTCAAGTTTGCGAGAGATTTTTGCAATTTCCTCCAGCACTTCGGGCCTAGCGCCACAAGCACTGAGAAAAACTGCAAATTTCCTTCACACGAAAAGGGGCGCGCCTCTCGGGCTTAAGAAGGTCGACAAGTTGAGCGACGAAGGCCTCAAACACAAATCTAGCGAATCTAGCGTTGCCCTGACGCGGCGCCCACAGTGACACATAGCAATCCCACTATGGCAACCTGCCTTCGTTGAGGATTCTGAAACAGATGTAGCCCGCTTTGCGCGCAAACCATGCACATCCAAATAGGACGAGATTTGGAGCGTCAACCTCGCTTCTTGCAAGCGGAACAAGAATCAGATACGGCAGAGACATCCTGCCAAGGAGCCCAGGACACAGACGGTCCCAACCGCAGGCCTTGCAAGATGCTCACGTGGCAAACCAAACAGATCAAATATGATCAGTGGGCGTCTCGTTTCTCAACTTGGCTTGCAGTGTGCTAAGAGCTTCCGACTACCTGCAGCTGCAAATGCATAACACATCATAGTTTTCTACAGATTTGTTGAGCCCAAGCCTTTGGAGTACTGCATCGCTCAGTCTCCTCGAGGGCAAGGAAGGGCTTGGGCCAAGGATGCTGAGCTCTTGGCCCAAATCGTCGGAGGTCCCCAAGTCTCCTCGAAATTGTTGGAGCTCCAAGTCTCCGGGTTCGGAAACTTCAAACTCTCCTCGTGTTGTGGGACCTGCACAGTGTGAAACAGTGAGCGAAGCTGACATTACGAGAAAAGCTAAGACTGATGCTCTGCGGTACACGTTGTCCCACCCAAGTTCCTGGCAAGAAAATGCGTGAGACAAACGCCAATCCTGGAGTGCACAAAAGACCATGAAGGATAAAATATTGTTAAACAAATTCACTAAATCGGTACACAGTAACCAATTCCGAAACATATTCAATCTGTTCGTTCTTGTTGCATAATCCTCTGGCCTGGCAGTCGCCATCGTCCAAATCCTAGGAACGGGCGCCGATTGACCACCAGAAAGGCGGCATGGTACCCGAAATACACGGAGCTTGTGGAGCTCTGAGCCAAATCGGAACGCTTTAGACTTCGAGGTACCGGGGCATCGGCTGCCTCCAAAGCGCGCATGCTTTCTTCGGAAATGCTTGGCCAATCCTGGAAAAGCCACAACGAATTTGCACATTGCAAGACGCGCATACAAACGACTAATGAACGTCCGTTATGATTTTGTGACAACTGATTCCTAAACATAACAAAGCCACTCTGTGTAATCTATTCGTTTTTGATCATTTTTGCAGACTAATCCTCTTTGTGGCCTGGCAGTCCTCGTCGTCATCCCAATCCTAAGAACGGGCCCAAGTCTGTCAAGATGTCTGTCAAGAAAACATTACTTTTGGTGCCCAAGTCTGTCCTCCGGAAGGTCGTCTGACGACGGCAGCGCTGTCTGGCCAGAGAGCCTGAAACGAACGCAGAAGTTTCCTGTGGCAAACGTGGCCTGATGGCTAGGTGCCCCTGCCTTTGGCTGTTGGTCCATGTTGCTGCTGGTGCGATGCAGTCTCCTGACCTCGGGTTTAAATTGCTTACAGATTTCAAACAGTGAAACACTAACTGATTTCTGAGGCTCAACCGAGGGGTTGTCGGAAGCGCTCCGACAAAGTCACAGGTGGCCTGTCAGAGCCCCTACGTAGGAGTTGAAACCTTTTCCATTGAAAATTTGACACAGAAAACCGGGAACTGGGATTATTTTCAGGGTACTGTATCTGGTAACGGTACTGTATCTGGTAACGGGGTCGAAACTCGGTAAACAAGGCAGCAAAAACGCTCGTCTTTTTTCCCCGGATAGCTGCCAAGCTATAAGGGGTTCCTACTTCTCTATGGTAAGGCTCTGGGTCGACAGTTTTTTTGCCGCTGCCCTGCCGCTGCTCACGCTTGTCTCCCTTCATGTTTGTCTCCCTTGGCCTTTGTCTCCCTTCATGCTTGCCTCTGTTCATGCTTGTCTCCCTCATGTCCCAGAGGTTTGAACTTGGTGCTGTTTCGTTTCATGCTGATTTGCGACGGTTCAAAAAATCGCGACCTTGTCTTTGTTGCGCATGCTGTTGAGAATCTTTTTGTGTTGATGCGCCCGCTATCTGGGGTCTATGCTGGTGTAATTCCACAACAGAGCTGCGTCGATAAGTCATTGCTCAGCTAAACAATGCAACAAGGAAATCTCCAGGGGGCGACGGGCCCAAAGGGTCAGGGGCAATGGCTGCAGCCTGAATAGGAGCCATTTGGTCATGGCATCATGTTGGATTCAAGCTGCTGGTCAAGTTAACATGTACCTTTCAACTAACGGTACCTGGATGTACCTGGTATGTTTCATTGGGCCTTTTAGTACCAATGTGCCAAGCTTTCATACACTTCTCTGTCCACCACTCTAGCTCTCCGTCAATCATAGCATAACAAATTGTGAACGCAACAAGGCTAGGCCGCGAACAGTAGTTTGTCCAGACTATCATGCCCAACTCACAAGTCATCTACAACAGTAACTTGGCAAGTTTAGGGCTGTCACATGGCTACCATACCAGCTTTCACCTCAAGCCCCACTTCTTCCAAGACGCCTGCTGTGAGGAATACAGCGAGGGAGGCCCCCGCGGAACACACGAAGTGGCGCGGGAACTTGCCCACGGCCAGCCTGGACTGCAAGCAACGGTGGGAGCAACAGGATCAGGAAACGACATGAAAGGACCACCTGCAACACGAATGGGTGTCACTTGCAACAAATAGACATATATACATGGAAGCATCAAAAATTCCCAAAAGGGAACGGATGGGAAAGTAGAAAAAAACAAGAAGATTCAGTATATAGCAGTCAAACACAGATGACTGAGAGTTGCACAGGACCATAGGCCGTCAAGACACGCCATTCGTTCTTATTCAATCTAGATGTCTGTTTCAATAAAATGCTTGCGCCGACAGAAACGAATGCATATCTTAATCATTCCACTGCATTGCATTCTTCACGCAAGCAACATGATGCAACCATTACAAAGCGGTCAGGTGCCACAATGCCATGCAACGCAATGTTCACTTTAGGGTCGAGATTGAGTTTTCTGCATTGATCTCTCACTTTGTGGCATGTGATCCTGTAGTTGTCCAAAATGAGTTATGCCTAGTACGTTGGAAGTTATACCTCGTGCAGTGGACCCACTGGACTATTTGGTGTCATAGTCCGGGGGTTGCGTAAGAATCCCAATTCCTTGAAGTTGAGGGCAAATCAGTGGCCTTCACAGTACGGTACTGTCCATCCTCGGATGAAGCGTGGTGGTGTGGTCGTGGTAAACAGTTCGCAGATGTTGTCATGGCTCTTGGCAACACTGTCAGCCTCAAATAGCGACGCGAGTCATGAGTCCGGCGAAAAAATCTGCCAGGTCGCGTCCATGTTTTCCTCACAACTCAATCTGCAGGTTTTCGCTCAAATGACTTTTCACAACAAATTTCTCATACCTGCAGAAGCACTGTTGATCAGCGACCACTTTTTGCAAGGACGCAACGGTTGCTGGGAGACTCTCAGAATGTGCCATCTCTACAGCATTGTGCCATGGCGATTGAGTCCGCCTGTAAAGATATATAATCGCTTGCAAAAATGAACCAATAGTGTATCAATCAAAATGGTCGGGCGTCTCAAACCGTCTCAAAACAGAACCAACAAAAAACAATCACCTGAGACATCTGAGACACCAAGGTTCAAACATACCTTGTTATACCTTGCTATATTTTTGTTCTTTGGGTTGTACTCTCTTTTTGTTGCCTTTCTCATTCTGTTTCAATCTCAATGCACAGAGCTCGAAGACCAATCGCATGCTTTCTGTTTCGTCAATACCAGCAGATCAAGTCATGATGATTCTCGGTCTTGGATGATAGAGCTGTTTACAGCTCTCTGTTTCTACACGGTGGCCACTGCTATGTTTTGTGTCAAAGTGCTCTCATCTCTTGTCTGACTTTTTGCAAGGCTGCCCCAGCTTGTCGCCCACAAAACATCATGTCAATCTTCTTGTCATGGATCGGTGCACGGCGTTCCTGGCAGGCGGATAGCATAGTGATAGGATCGCCAAACACCATCTTAAGAGCCGGCCCTCTAAACTTTAAACCTTCAGCACATGGCACAAGAATGGTGGGGGCCCTGAAAATCCCGGAAGCCAACAAAATACACTTGCACTCAATTTGCACCTGCCTCGGCAGGCACGATGTCCAGGAGCGGTGCATGAACTTCTGAGAAGTATCTCGAGACCACCTGGGAGCTGGAAGCGAATGCTTCAAGGGAAGGCCCCTCGAGTCAAAATGATGCTTGAAAGTGATGCTATGCTGTGTGCTTCAAGGGAAATATCCTCTCCCTTTTTCACCTCAAATGTCGCCACTGTGGTCACTGCAACTGAATGCGAAGGCGAAAGGCAACTATCTACGGTCACCCAAGGCCAAGTGAAAATTTCGCATGCTTTTGCTATGCGCCTGAGTGTCTCCTTTCATCAACCTCAGTGCTGTGGAGGTCAGCTCATGACAAAGTCTTCGAGATGAGTTTCCATCGTGAGAATGCTATCGTTAGGTTTGGAACCACAAGATCAAACTGTTTGCTGACAGTCTCCGCTTCTCGAACTGATGCAATGTAATCTATACTTTGCTCGCACGGTTGGTTGTGTTGCTGGTTGGCTGTTGTCTTTGCATTGCTCTTGTATCCCTGGTTGATGAGTTTGTCGAAACTTGTTTGTCGACTCCCTGATGAACACACTATCGGCTCATACAGCAGCAGAAGGCGCTTGAGTGATCAAAGTCAAGCTGAATGGTCGTTTACGCACTCGTAAAGGGTTTTCTTCATGAAGGTATCGCAACACCGACCTAAAATCATCATTCCATCTTTGGGGGCACGCTGTTGATTGACAACCCGACATTTTGCTGTTTATGACGCAGAGTTGGGCCATGCGCCCAGGATTGGATGACTAATTCCCATAGGGCATAATTTTCAATTGACTAATCCCTAGACTTCTTGCAAGCCAATGCAATTCAGTATTGTGCTTAGGTGGATGTTTATGCCCAAGAAGAGTTTTGACTCTGGAGTGTCCAAAAATCGATATTGTCAATATCAACCAGTGGTTGTGGGTGATCATGAGGCATCATTATGCACTAATTACTAAGCATCATTAATCATCACAAACCCTTATTATCACTATGAACTCTACAATTCAACCATGATTGACCTTCACTAATCATGAATCAAATGTTGGCCAAAGGTTTAAGCAGCATTGACTCAACCTTGTTGCAACCTCCAAAAGGTCAACCAAACAGGGAACTGCCCTCCATTTGATCAGCACTCTCTCAGGCTGGGACTGTGCAGGCTGCCGCGGTCGGCCTAGGGCAGTGAACCGATGATCATTTATCAACACTGAGCAGCCTTAGATCAACCAGTTTCCATCTATTCCATCAGTGGATGATGATGATGATGATGATGATGATGATGGAACGTTCATGAACGTTAACACCATCTATTACACTCGTTCATGAACATCCTGCTAAACGTTAAATGGTTCCACTTGCCCTTTGCGTGAAAACAGCTGGCATAAATTGAAAACAGCGTGTTTGCTTTCCACATAAATTGGAAATTTCAAAGAAACACGTTCATCAGAAACACGCCGTGGCTGGGATGGTGGGATTACTTGGCTGGGCTGCTTGACTTGTCCCATCTGCCAAAGTGTGGTTCAAGGGGCCTGGAAAAAAAACAGGATTATTGCAGGAATGCCCTGCAATGATCAAAGGGTCACCGCAAGAAACATCCAAATGACAAACCAGGTCATCACTGTGATTCCAGTGCCGGGCATTCAGTGCAACAGCTGTCCATTCGTCGCCTTGGTTTCCATTTCTGCGCAGCGACTTCCTCTGCGACGGCCTCACGATCCCAACAGACTCTGCAACAGGTTGCAGTTGGGATCCAAACTTTTCACAGAAAGGTCTCCTAGAAATCCACCTTCAAAAGAAAGGAGTTCCTTACATGTTGAGTTGGAAACTCCTGGAGTCTGACCTTCCATGGACTTCCTGGTGTCAACTCCTGGAGTTCAACATGGCTCATCAGGTGAAGCTCCATCAGGCCATCCTGACAGCGCCCAAGGATGTGAGTCGTAGATGCGAAACGCCAGTGCTACGGCAACGTTGGGAATGACGTGAACTCAAACGGGTGGACATCAATATGCGCCAACAATATGCATCAATAGTCCATTCATGTCGTTCTCTGCATGATTGGGAACTTCAAACAGTTCAAAGACTTTGATCTACTTGCTTAATCAGATTCAATTTGCAAGCATTGTGTCTATAGAATCAGGAACCCAGGTACCAAATCAGATCAGGCTTGCCACAGTTTGTTGGACGGAGTGGAGGACTTAGAAACACCACGGCTGATGCCTCTTCGTCTTCCTTCTTCCATTCACCATCCTGTGGAGCAAGAAAACTGAGGTCTTCACTAAACAAGACTAGCTGAAGTCATTGGAACAACGGGGCCGTCATTCGAACTGTTCGAAAGAGCTGATTAAACACCAACTGACACGTCATTGACGCAACTGCAACTAGCAAAAGAAGTTCATTTTGAGAGACACTTAGATGACTTGAAAACAATTGAAAATCAAAATAAAACCTCAAAAAATTGGGATTATCTCACCAACACCTGCACCTGCACCTGGTGTCACTTCGAGTGCGACTCAAAGAATCAGTTGCCCGGAGAAATCTGAGAATCGAGCATCGTTCGGGCTGTGAAAATGGGAGATGCCCATCATTTATGGCCTTGAAAAATATGGGGATTTTGGACAATTATGATAGTTAAACCAATGGACTTTTGGATACATCCAGACCTGGCCTGCACCAGTGAGCCTTCGCCAATCTCGAGCCTGTCCGTCGCATCCAAACCGAGATCAGAAGTGTCTCTAAAACAACAGCTATAGCTGGATCTAAATTATTTGAATCATCTTAACTCCACCTGTTTTATAGTGAAACCACAATTTTCACATGCAAAAAAGTCTGGAGATAATATGGAGATCTTGACCCATCCAGCCGACAAAAAGAGAAACGAACCTCTTCCGTCCAGTAAGGAGCTCTTCCATCGAAGCCCGGCTCGGAAAAACCTGTGAGATTCTGTTGTGACTTCCCAATGACCTTAACTGGTTGGTGGTTTTAACCCTGTTGAAAAATATGAAAGCCAATGGGAAGGATTATCCCGTATATTATGGAAAATAACCCAAATGTTTGAAACCACCAACCAGTTAATTATCTTAATTTCAGTTCCCAGTCGAGTATTTCTATCTATTTCTATAGTATTGGTTTCCACTCTCAGCCACAAAGCCACAAACCCATCTGGCACATCTGACCTGTCGAGACTTCTGACCACATCGTACCGAAAGCAACGCTTGTGGAGGCAACCTGAAAGCAAAGGGTTAAAGCCAGTGGATTTTAGCTCCTACGGTGGTCCGGGGTTTATGTAAATGGTCCCTGAAAAAATGTCAAAAAAAATGTCGACCCACAAATGACCATTTACACAGCTTTGCCTGTAGGATATACCACACCAAACTGTCGTTTTTTAATGGATAATGATTATTATATAACGGATGTAAGGTTTGTCCCGAAAGAATCAAACAATCTCAAACAAAGGAATCCCCATAGATCCCAATAGTTTGTACAGATATGTTCATCCAATAGTTTGGTTGATAGGTTTTCATCCCAGAAAAATGCGGCCAAAAAGATGGTGGTTAATGGTCATCCAATCACATCCGATGGGGAATCCCATATCTGTTCTTAATCAATCCCTATGAAAGTGGCTTTAGTTATCCCCAACGGATTCTTATAAATTCCCCATGAAAATGGTTTCATTGATGTTCATTTCACCATACCAAGATGATTTTTTCTACATGAAAAAAAGGCTGGAGTTTTCATGACATTTCATGACCACCCCCCAACTCATGGCTTCATCACTGGCTCATCACCCCCTGGGCGATCCAAACCCTTCAGGAAAAAATGGTGATTTCTGGCGGTTTTGCTACGGCCTGAAAAATAGAGGGAGAACAGGGTTAACGATCAACCAATAGGTGAAAAATACGGGATATGATGATTGGTGATAGTGGCGATATGTTCTTTTGGTGTGGACAATGTGGGGGACATCAATTTTAGGCTATAAACAATTGGGAATATCTGGGGAATATCTGGAACAAATCCGGGAATCTGATGATCATGATTCACCACTGGAGTTGGGGCATTCCCAAGGTGAGAACCTACAGGAAAAGTCATGGAAAAGTCATGATTTTTACGACTGATCTTAGTCTCCTCCAGTATTTAGGGATATTTCGGCTGAAAAATCAGAAGGGGATGTCCCATCATCCTCCCACCTCCTGGCACGCGACCAAGTCTGCTATGAAACTGAAGGGATTCTGTGGCCTGGTGGTCAGCGGGATCGAAAAGGATGTGTCGAAAAGTGCTTGGACCGGTAAACGTTTAGAGTTTGCGAACTGGAAAATCACCATTTTTACGTAGATCAACTATTTCTATGACCATGTTCAATAGCTATTTTGACATAACCAGAGCCCCAAAGCTTGGAAAGTTCATGGGAAACCGCATGAGATGAGTTGCAAATCAACGTTTTCGCACATCTCGCCTCTCAAGGAGAATTGCTTCCAGGAGCCCTGCAATGTACCTGTCCAGTCTCCAGATATGGTGGGAGTTGCTACCTCCATGAAAGTTATCAAAGTGAAGCTTCCCAGATCCCCCTGGATCTCTCTGCCTCATGTGCCACTGCATCATATCCTGGCAGCTTCTGCTTTCATCAAATTCACCATGTTTGCAAACAGAAAAATAGAGCTTGGCCCACCTTGCTCCCGCGTCTCTCGCCCCGACCTTGCAATCCAGCGAAACACCAAACATCTGAAGTCGGCTTCCACAGCACTTAGGCTCAGACAGCCGGAAGCCAATCTTGGTGGACCTACGGTGGCATCTTAAATCCCTGGACCCTTCCAAAAGGTGATCCAGCAGGAAATCCAATGTGACCATAGAAAAAATATCTTTTCCATTCAAACTCTGAGGTTTCATAGTTTTTCCACTTTGGAAGCCCGGGATTTTTGTGAAATCATGGTCAACCATCAACTTTGAGAGTTTTCTCAAGATTGTCAGATCCATGTGCCGAAAAATGTGTTTTTGGGCAGTGGGAATCCCATCGAACTTCCAGCAGTGAGGGCCCCACACGAAGTGGGCCGTTTCGCAGAGTCGCAGGGCCTGGATCCCCTGGCAGCAAGGCGCTTTCCATCATTTTCCATCTCAGAAACTCCATGAATTTGTCAATCTGATCAGAAACTGATACAAATTATGGATCTCGAAATGTCAAGGACTCTAGGGTGACCTCAGTTAACTCCTGCAAAGAGATCTGCAGCTTTGGCATCTGTCGGCAGCAAGGGCCTGAAATTGCACTCCGGGTCAAGAAACTTCACCAAAGGGGTCTGGATGGTGCAAACTAGCAGTCTGATGGTGAATTTGGAATATACTCAGCACTTTGCTGGTGACTTTGGAGAATCTTTGGAGTATACTTGTTTGGGGCATACTGTAAAGAACGTGGTACAACGATGATCAATCGATCAAACTGGGGGTGTCTGAAAATATAGTGTATCTCTATACAATTGCTATATTCAAGATGACTTTAGTAACTTTGGTTACTTCAGTAGGGGACATGATGTTCTAACCCATCGAATTTTTGTACCTTTCCCCAGATCTTTCCCACCCAGTCATGGGAAATTGCTGATCGTCATCATGCCCCTGCCATGTGCCTCTTCTCCAACAACCTAGGGCAGGGCATCTTGACTTCGGGCTTTGGGTTGTCACGCATTTCTTACCATCATCCAATATTGTCCAATATCATCAAGATCCACTACTGTATCTTCCAATAACATCCTATATCATCCAAGATCGATCTGAAATCATCCAATCTTATCCAATCCAAATCATCCAACATGATCCAAGATCATCCAAGATCATCCAAAAAACGAATTCTCCTGGTTTCAAATTCATCAAAGGCCGAAAACTGCTTGGCAAACTGCGGGAAAACTGGCCATGGGGAGTCAGACTGGAAAAATCTAAAAATGGAGGTTTTAAGCCTGGGAGAACCATCGAACATCATCGAACTGCTGGGGATTTGTTTTTCAGCAAACCAGGTTTGATTACCAGAGGATATCTCAGTGACTTGAAGATACTGAACCCCTAGAAACATCTCATGCATTCCTGCCTTGTATCAAATGTGGCTACTCCAAATCTACTGACCCCGCTGTGACAAGGATCTTTGCGGGCGTAGTTCAACAGCAGCGATGCCGCTTTGTGTGAAAATTAGGTGTAGTACCCTATGCTGAAGTGTACTGAAAAAAAAACTGATTTGTGGCCATCACACTTGAAAATCATGAATTAACATCAATTAACACCAATTATCATCTATAACCAGTGGATTTGGGATAGAAAAAATCAAGGAAATCTACCCATTTTTCACCCCAAACATCAATAATCACCACACTGAGCCCCCGACATCCGCAGCTCTACCGAAGTCCATGCGAGGCACGGTGAACTGCAGCGGCCGCGGCGCTCGCGGCACTCTGCATTGCGATGGCACCTACTGAAGGAAAGAATTGATGGAAAAATTGGGCACACCACAGAAATCAACCAGCTTTGACCATAGTTAGAAACTATATCAAGTCAGCTCCATTGCATCATAGGTCTGTGTCACGTTGAACATCAGGTGCCCCCCTTCTTTCGCCTGTGAAGCTTCCCGTAGTCGGAGCGATCCCAAAATGGGAAGCTCCGGCAACGGCCTCATGGCAGGATCTCTGCAAGAAATCCAGCTGTCGTAACCCCAAAAAGATGCGGAAAATTGATGTATCATCATGTATCATGATGTATCATGATGTATCACTATTTTAGAAGCGGATTTCTTGTCCCAAATTCTGCGTGCCGGATCAAGACAGCTGTGCCATGGTCACATCCCAAATTGGGAAGGAGATTCACTGTTGTTTTTGTTTCACATCCAAATCCCGAAATCCCTCAACAAAACAATTGTGTTTCACGACTTTTCTACCTTTTCGCCCACCTGCATCTTCTTTCTTCTGATTCTTTATCTTCTCTGAGATTCTTTCTACTGACTCTTTCTCTTCGCTGACTCTTCCCACCTCTGTTTTTCCATCTGTCCATATTGTCGGAAGTTTGACTTCAAAACTTCCTTGGACAATAGAAACAATGATGAAAAATGATAGAAATTGGTTGATTGGCCACTGCCAAAATGCCCTCCCAGCCTCCACAAAGATTTCAGCGACGGGAACCGCAGGCCTGTGCTGCATATGTGCCCCAAACTTGCACCATAACAAGTTACAGTAGGATATGGGTTTGTCTGAAAATTGATGGGAAATCCCGAAAAAAAGCATGGTTTTGCCAACAAACCCATATTTGATCCAAAGCTGATATTTTGGCTCTTTCACAACAGCTGGGTGAAGCCGGCCTTCTCTCGTCGAAGGCTTCTTCAGCCTCTTTGGAAGAGTTACAGTGTAATGACACATGCGACAAACAAAACCGTCCTGCAATACTCAAGCAACAAGACTATGCATTTGCTGGATACTTACAAGAAATATCCAAAAAGGCTGGAAAAGCATCTGATGCAAGATTGCACCGCAGACTTTCAACTCATCAAAGAACAAAACTGTCAAACATTGGATCAAGACTCCACAAGTATCCAAAAGTGTCAGAGTTTGCCAATCAGAGTGTCCCCAAATCAGTTGGTTTTGTCCAAAATGGGGCACCATCATGATGTTCTTCATGAAAATGACCATAAATCATGCTCGGTCAGTCACAGGATCAAGCTTGGGGTAATGATGTTGCAAAAGAAGCCCCAGCCCTCCTTCGCAACGTTACCAGTGACCGAGCCAAATTCGCGCACCATGGGCCCATGCAGCCACCTGACGGAAAAACTCAAACTCTTCATACATGAACAGCCTGACCAGCAAAACACGCAGTCCAAGATTGGCCTCTGCAGGTAGCGGGACGCAGCCCACGAATACGCCATTGCGCAGCAAAAAGGAAGGGGCCCAGAAGTCTTACACGGCAGTCTTGGGTTTTGGGCTTGCATGCAACTTACAGGGCCCTGTTGCTATGACTCTATGAGTCTATGAATCTTTAAAATTACGAGCACAAGACTCTAAGCCAATGTATGAAGTACTCAAGGCTCATCGCAGAATACAGCTAGACCCAAATATCTGAGGTTCATCCTCTCAATGTTGGCAGCAGGGATGCAGACATCCCCATCACGTCTTCTGCTTCTTAAAAGGAAATGCTTGGGCGCTAAATGGGAACTCTAGTGGAAAGGTGGAAACAGGCAACATTCCATGGACAACAAGGTAACCGTGTTTGAGACGTCCGGCACTTTTTTTGGGGCCCTCGCTCAAGGTTGCGCTCGCCGGCAGCTTGTCTTGGCACATCTTTCTTCGGCTTCGGGAAGTGGCCATGCTCTGCTGCAAGGGAAACATGGATCGAAACTGCTTCGAAGAGCAAAATCTGAAAGCCGCTGCATCGACCCACAAGTACAGGATAGTGATTCGTAGTTGTCACATTGTCAAACAGCCTTGATTGGCATATGTTTCTGGATCTTGTGGCCAGTGCAGTCCAAGATCTCCAAAGGTTTCTTCAATCGGTTCTCGATGTGAATGTTTATGGCAAGCTTCTGTGAAAGCTTCCACACATGTGTCAGCAAGCTGCGCATCTTCGCAGTTCCGCGCCAGTAACGAAAAGCACTCCAATCCTCTTTCTATGTCAGTGTGGTGTAAGCGGCCTGCGGTGTTGAAGATCCAGATTATGTGTTGAGCGAGCATCCGCTTGACATCCACATGATCTTTCAAATTTGCAAAGAGGCATCTCGCAACTGAGAGCATCACTGGCAACAAACGCATCATATGTTGGGAACTGTGGTGAACCAAGCGATGGAGGAACAAGTTCAGCGCCGTAGCGTTGCAATCCCACCATCTGTTCAATACCTTTGTTCCAGATCTGAAAATGCAACAATAGCCTCAAGGACCCCAGGCTGACACCAACAACTGTACTGAAGAAAACTTAAGCAAACATCAGAAAACTATCATGAAAAGCACAACACCAGGTGATAACTATCCCAAGGTGGACGTTGAAGCAACATGACAGAACTTTTCCACGGTGTCATCCGATCCTTACGCGGAACCACCCTGAAACTTTTGCAGCAACATCCAAAGACTGGTCTGTATCGAAGCGCCCAGCCTTGAAGTCCAGCAGTAAAAACAAAGTTGTAATGGACAATTGCAGTAGGCTTCTGCTTCTCTTCTTCAAGTTTGCGAGAGATTTTTGCAATTTCCTCCAGCACTTCGGGCCTAGCGCCACAAGCACTGAGAAAAACTGCAAATTTCCTTCACACGAAAAGGGGCGCGCCTCTCGGGCTTAAGAAGGTCGACAAGTTGAGCGACGAAGGCCTCAAACACAAATCTAGCGAATCTAGCGTTGCCCTGACGCGGCGCCCACAGTGACACATAGCAATCCCACTATGGCAACCTGCCTTCGTTGAGGATTCTGAAACAGATGTAGCCCGCTTTGCGCGCAAACCATGCACATCCAAATAGGACGAGATTTGGAGCGTCAACCTCGCTTCTTGCAAGCGGAACAAGAATCAGATACGGCAGAGACATCCTGCCAAGGAGCCCAGGACACAGACGGTCCCAACCGCAGGCCTTGCAAGATGCTCACGTGGCAAACCAAACAGATCAAATATGATCAGTGGGCGTCTCGTTTCTCAACTTGGCTTGCAGTGTGCTAAGAGCTTCCGACTACCTGCAGCTGCAAATGCATAACACATCATAGTTTTCTACAGATTTGTTGAGCCCAAGCCTTTGGAGTACTGCATCGCTCAGTCTCCTCGAGGGCAAGGAAGGGCTTGGGCCAAGGATGCTGAGCTCTTGGCCCAAATCGTCGGAGGTCCCCAAGTCTCCTCGAAATTGTTGGAGCTCCAAGTCTCCGGGTTCGGAAACTTCAAACTCTCCTCGTGTTGTGGGACCTGCACAGTGTGAAACAGTGAGCGAAGCTGACATTACGAGAAAAGCTAAGACTGATGCTCTGCGGTACACGTTGTCCCACCCAAGTTCCTGGCAAGAAAATGCGTGAGACAAACGCCAATCCTGGAGTGCACAAAAGACCATGAAGGATAAAATATTGTTAAACAAATTCACTAAATCGGTACACAGTAACCAATTCCGAAACATATTCAATCTGTTCGTTCTTGTTGCATAATCCTCTGGCCTGGCAGTCGCCATCGTCCAAATCCTAGGAACGGGCGCCGATTGACCACCAGAAAGGCGGCATGGTACCCGAAATACACGGAGCTTGTGGAGCTCTGAGCCAAATCGGAACGCTTTAGACTTCGAGGTACCGGGGCATCGGCTGCCTCCAAAGCGCGCATGCTTTCTTCGGAAATGCTTGGCCAATCCTGGAAAAGCCACAACGAATTTGCACATTGCAAGACGCGCATACAAACGACTAATGAACGTCCGTTATGATTTTGTGACAACTGATTCCTAAACATAACAAAGCCACTCTGTGTAATCTATTCGTTTTTGATCATTTTTGCAGACTAATCCTCTTTGTGGCCTGGCAGTCCTCGTCGTCATCCCAATCCTAAGAACGGGCCCAAGTCTGTCAAGATGTCTGTCAAGAAAACATTACTTTTGGTGCCCAAGTCTGTCCTCCGGAAGGTCGTCTGACGACGGCAGCGCTGTCTGGCCAGAGAGCCTGAAACGAACGCAGAAGTTTCCTGTGGCAAACGTGGCCTGATGGCTAGGTGCCCCTGCCTTTGGCTGTTGGTCCATGTTGCTGCTGGTGCGATGCAGTCTCCTGACCTCGGGTTTAAATTGCTTACAGATTTCAAACAGTGAAACACTAACTGATTTCTGAGGCTCAACCGAGGGGTTGTCGGAAGCGCTCCGACAAAGTCACAGGTGGCCTGTCAGAGCCCCTACGTAGGAGTTGAAACCTTTTCCATTGAAAATTTGACACAGAAAACCGGGAACTGGGATTATTTTCAGGGTACTGTATCTGGTAACGGGGTCGAAACTCGGTAAACAAGGCAGCAAAAACGCTCGTCTTTTTTCCCCGGATAGCTGCCAAGCTATAAGGGGTTCCTACTTCTCTATGGTAAGGCTCTGGGTCGACAGTTTTTTTGCCGCTGCCCTGCCGCTGCTCACGCTTGTCTCCCTTCATGTTTGTCTCCCTTGGCCTTTGTCTCCCTTCATGCTTGCCTCTGTTCATGCTTGTCTCCCTCATGTCCCAGAGGTTTGAACTTGGTGCTGTTTCGTTTCATGCTGATTTGCGACGGTTCAAAAAATCGCGACCTTGTCTTTGTTGCGCATGCTGTTGAGAATCTTTTTGTGTTGATGCGCCCGCTATCTGGGGTCTATGCTGGTGTAATTCCACAACAGAGCTGCGTCGATAAGTCATTGCTCAGCTAAACAATGCAACAAGGAAATCTCCAGGGGGCGACGGGCCCAAAGGGTCAGGGGCAATGGCTGCAGCCTGAATAGGAGCCATTTGGTCATGGCATCATGTTGGATTCAAGCTGCTGGTCAAGTTAACATGTACCTTTCAACTAACGGTACCTGGATGTACCTGGTATGTTTCATTGGGCCTTTTAGTACCAATGTGCCAAGCTTTCATACACTTCTCTGTCCACCACTCTAGCTCTCCGTCAATCATAGCATAACAAATTGTGAACGCAACAAGGCTAGGCCGCGAACAGTAGTTTGTCCAGACTATCATGCCCAACTCACAAGTCATCTACAACAGTAACTTGGCAAGTTTAGGGCTGTCACATGGCTACCATACCAGCTTTCACCTCAAGCCCCACTTCTTCCAAGACGCCTGCTGTGAGGAATACAGCGAGGGAGGCCCCCGCGGAACACACGAAGTGGCGCGGGAACTTGCCCACGGCCAGCCTGGACTGCAAGCAACGGTGGGAGCAACAGGATCAGGAAACGACATGAAAGGACCACCTGCAACACGAATGGGTGTCACTTGCAACAAATAGACATATATACATGGAAGCATCAAAAATTCCCAAAAGGGAACGGATGGGAAAGTAGAAAAAAACAAGAAGATTCAGTATATAGCAGTCAAACACAGATGACTGAGAGTTGCACAGGACCATAGGCCGTCAAGACACGCCATTCGTTCTTATTCAATCTAGATGTCTGTTTCAATAAAATGCTTGCGCCGACAGAAACGAATGCATATCTTAATCATTCCACTGCATTGCATTCTTCACGCAAGCAACATGATGCAACCATTACAAAGCGGTCAGGTGCCACAATGCCATGCAACGCAATGTTCACTTTAGGGTCGAGATTGAGTTTTCTGCATTGATCTCTCACTTTGTGGCATGTGATCCTGTAGTTGTCCAAAATGAGTTATGCCTAGTACGTTGGAAGTTATACCTCGTGCAGTGGACCCACTGGACTATTTGGTGTCATAGTCCGGGGGTTGCGTAAGAATCCCAATTCCTTGAAGTTGAGGGCAAATCAGTGGCCTTCACAGTACGGTACTGTCCATCCTCGGATGAAGCGTGGTGGTGTGGTCGTGGTAAACAGTTCGCAGATGTTGTCATGGCTCTTGGCAACACTGTCAGCCTCAAATAGCGACGCGAGTCATGAGTCCGGCGAAAAAATCTGCCAGGTCGCGTCCATGTTTTCCTCACAACTCAATCTGCAGGTTTTCGCTCAAATGACTTTTCACAACAAATTTCTCATACCTGCAGAAGCACTGTTGATCAGCGACCACTTTTTGCAAGGACGCAACGGTTGCTGGGAGACTCTCAGAATGTGCCATCTCTACAGCATTGTGCCATGGCGATTGAGTCCGCCTGTAAAGATATATAATCGCTTGCAAAAATGAACCAATAGTGTATCAATCAAAATGGTCGGGCGTCTCAAACCGTCTCAAAACAGAACCAACAAAAAACAATCACCTGAGACATCTGAGACACCAAGGTTCAAACATACCTTGTTATACCTTGCTATATTTTTGTTCTTTGGGTTGTACTCTCTTTTTGTTGCCTTTCTCATTCTGTTTCAATCTCAATGCACAGAGCTCGAAGACCAATCGCATGCTTTCTGTTTCGTCAATACCAGCAGATCAAGTCATGATGATTCTCGGTCTTGGATGATAGAGCTGTTTACAGCTCTCTGTTTCTACACGGTGGCCACTGCTATGTTTTGTGTCAAAGTGCTCTCATCTCTTGTCTGACTTTTTGCAAGGCTGCCCCAGCTTGTCGCCCACAAAACATCATGTCAATCTTCTTGTCATGGATCGGTGCACGGCGTTCCTGGCAGGCGGATAGCATAGTGATAGGATCGCCAAACACCATCTTAAGAGCCGGCCCTCTAAACTTTAAACCTTCAGCACATGGCACAAGAATGGTGGGGGCCCTGAAAATCCCGGAAGCCAACAAAATACACTTGCACTCAATTTGCACCTGCCTCGGCAGGCACGATGTCCAGGAGCGGTGCATGAACTTCTGAGAAGTATCTCGAGACCACCTGGGAGCTGGAAGCGAATGCTTCAAGGGAAGGCCCCTCGAGTCAAAATGATGCTTGAAAGTGATGCTATGCTGTGTGCTTCAAGGGAAATATCCTCTCCCTTTTTCACCTCAAATGTCGCCACTGTGGTCACTGCAACTGAATGCGAAGGCGAAAGGCAACTATCTACGGTCACCCAAGGCCAAGTGAAAATTTCGCATGCTTTTGCTATGCGCCTGAGTGTCTCCTTTCATCAACCTCAGTGCTGTGGAGGTCAGCTCATGACAAAGTCTTCGAGATGAGTTTCCATCGTGAGAATGCTATCGTTAGGTTTGGAACCACAAGATCAAACTGTTTGCTGACAGTCTCCGCTTCTCGAACTGATGCAATGTAATCTATACTTTGCTCGCACGGTTGGTTGTGTTGCTGGTTGGCTGTTGTCTTTGCATTGCTCTTGTATCCCTGGTTGATGAGTTTGTCGAAACTTGTTTGTCGACTCCCTGATGAACACACTATCGGCTCATACAGCAGCAGAAGGCGCTTGAGTGATCAAAGTCAAGCTGAATGGTCGTTTACGCACTCGTAAAGGGTTTTCTTCATGAAGGTATCGCAACACCGACCTAAAATCATCATTCCATCTTTGGGGGCACGCTGTTGATTGACAACCCGACATTTTGCTGTTTATGACGCAGAGTTGGGCCATGCGCCCAGGATTGGATGACTAATTCCCATAGGGCATAATTTTCAATTGACTAATCCCTAGACTTCTTGCAAGCCAATGCAATTCAGTATTGTGCTTAGGTGGATGTTTATGCCCAAGAAGAGTTTTGACTCTGGAGTGTCCAAAAATCGATATTGTCAATATCAACCAGTGGTTGTGGGTGATCATGAGGCATCATTATGCACTAATTACTAAGCATCATTAATCATCACAAACCCTTATTATCACTATGAACTCTACAATTCAACCATGATTGACCTTCACTAATCATGAATCAAATGTTGGCCAAAGGTTTAAGCAGCATTGACTCAACCTTGTTGCAACCTCCAAAAGGTCAACCAAACAGGGAACTGCCCTCCATTTGATCAGCACTCTCTCAGGCTGGGACTGTGCAGGCTGCCGCGGTCGGCCTAGGGCAGTGAACCGATGATCATTTATCAACACTGAGCAGCCTTAGATCAACCAGTTTCCATCTATTCCATCAGTGGATGATGATGATGATGATGATGATGATGATGATGATGATGATGGAACGTTCATGAACGTTAACACCATCTATTACACTCGTTCATGAACATCCTGCTAAACGTTAAATGGTTCCACTTGCCCTTTGCGTGAAAACAGCTGGCATAAATTGAAAACAGCGTGTTTGCTTTCCACATAAATTGGAAATTTCAAAGAAACACGTTCATCAGAAACACGCCGTGGCTGGGATGGTGGGATTACTTGGCTGGGCTGCTTGACTTGTCCCATCTGCCAAAGTGTGGTTCAAGGGGCCTGGAAAAAAAACAGGATTATTGCAGGAATGCCCTGCAATGATCAAAGGGTCACCGCAAGAAACATCCAAATGACAAACCAGGTCATCACTGTGATTCCAGTGCCGGGCATTCAGTGCAACAGCTGTCCATTCGTCGCCTTGGTTTCCATTTCTGCGCAGCGACTTCCTCTGCGACGGCCTCACGATCCCAACAGACTCTGCAACAGGTTGCAGTTGGGATCCAAACTTTTCACAGAAAGGTCTCCTAGAAATCCACCTTCAAAAGAAAGGAGTTCCTTACATGTTGAGTTGGAAACTCCTGGAGTCTGACCTTCCATGGACTTCCTGGTGTCAACTCCTGGAGTTCAACATGGCTCATCAGGTGAAGCTCCATCAGGCCATCCTGACAGCGCCCAAGGATGTGAGTCGTAGATGCGAAACGCCAGTGCTACGGCAACGTTGGGAATGACGTGAACTCAAACGGGTGGACATCAATATGCGCCAACAATATGCATCAATAGTCCATTCATGTCGTTCTCTGCATGATTGGGAACTTCAAACAGTTCAAAGACTTTGATCTACTTGCTTAATCAGATTCAATTTGCAAGCATTGTGTCTATAGAATCAGGAACCCAGGTACCAAATCAGATCAGGCTTGCCACAGTTTGTTGGACGGAGTGGAGGACTTAGAAACACCACGGCTGATGCCTCTTCGTCTTCCTTCTTCCATTCACCATCCTGTGGAGCAAGAAAACTGAGGTCTTCACTAAACAAGACTAGCTGAAGTCATTGGAACAACGGGGCCGTCATTCGAACTGTTCGAAAGAGCTGATTAAACACCAACTGACACGTCATTGACGCAACTGCAACTAGCAAAAGAAGTTCATTTTGAGAGACACTTAGATGACTTGAAAACAATTGAAAATCAAAATAAAACCTCAAAAAATTGGGATTATCTCACCAACACCTGCACCTGCACCTGGTGTCACTTCGAGTGCGACTCAAAGAATCAGTTGCCCGGAGAAATCTGAGAATCGAGCATCGTTCGGGCTGTGAAAATGGGAGATGCCCATCATTTATGGCCTTGAAAAATATGGGGATTTTGGACAATTATGATAGTTAAACCAATGGACTTTTGGATACATCCAGACCTGGCCTGCACCAGTGAGCCTTCGCCAATCTCGAGCCTGTCCGTCGCATCCAAACCGAGATCAGAAGTGTCTCTAAAACAACAGCTATAGCTGGATCTAAATTATTTGAATCATCTTAACTCCACCTGTTTTATAGTGAAACCACAATTTTCACATGCAAAAAAGTCTGGAGATAATATGGAGATCTTGACCCATCCAGCCGACAAAAAGAGAAACGAACCTCTTCCGTCCAGTAAGGAGCTCTTCCATCGAAGCCCGGCTCGGAAAAACCTGTGAGATTCTGTTGTGACTTCCCAATGACCTTAACTGGTTGGTGGTTTTAACCCTGTTGAAAAATATGAAAGCCAATGGGAAGGATTATCCCGTATATTATGGAAAATAACCCAAATGTTTGAAACCACCAACCAGTTAATTATCTTAATTTCAGTTCCCAGTCGAGTATTTCTATCTATTTCTATAGTATTGGTTTCCACTCTCAGCCACAAAGCCACAAACCCATCTGGCACATCTGACCTGTCGAGACTTCTGACCACATCGTACCGAAAGCAACGCTTGTGGAGGCAACCTGAAAGCAAAGGGTTAAAGCCAGTGGATTTTAGCTCCTACGGTGGTCCGGGGTTTATGTAAATGGTCCCTGAAAAAATGTCAAAAAAAATGTCGACCCACAAATGACCATTTACACAGCTTTGCCTGTAGGATATACCACACCAAACTGTCGTTTTTTAATGGATAATGATTATTATATAACGGATGTAAGGTTTGTCCCGAAAGAATCAAACAATCTCAAACAAAGGAATCCCCATAGATCCCAATAGTTTGTACAGATATGTTCATCCAATAGTTTGGTTGATAGGTTTTCATCCCAGAAAAATGCGGCCAAAAAGATGGTGGTTAATGGTCATCCAATCACATCCGATGGGGAATCCCATATCTGTTCTTAATCAATCCCTATGAAAGTGGCTTTAGTTATCCCCAACGGATTCTTATAAATTCCCCATGAAAATGGTTTCATTGATGTTCATTTCACCATACCAAGATGATTTTTTCTACATGAAAAAAAGGCTGGAGTTTTCATGACATTTCATGACCACCCCCCAACTCATGGCTTCATCACTGGCTCATCACCCCCTGGGCGATCCAAACCCTTCAGGAAAAAATGGTGATTTCTGGCGGTTTTGCTACGGCCTGAAAAATAGAGGGAGAACAGGGTTAACGATCAACCAATAGGTGAAAAATACGGGATATGATGATTGGTGATAGTGGCGATATGTTCTTTTGGTGTGGACAATGTGGGGGACATCAATTTTAGGCTATAAACAATTGGGAATATCTGGGGAATATCTGGAACAAATCCGGGAATCTGATGATCATGATTCACCACTGGAGTTGGGGCATTCCCAAGGTGAGAACCTACAGGAAAAGTCATGGAAAAGTCATGATTTTTACGACTGATCTTAGTCTCCTCCAGTATTTAGGGATATTTCGGCTGAAAAATCGGAAGGGGATGTCCCATCATCCTCCCACCTCCTGGCACGCGACCAAGTCTGCTATGAAACTGAAGGGATTCTGTGGCCTGGTGGTCAGCGGGATCGAAAAGGATGTGTCGAAAAGTGCTTGGACCGGTAAACGTTTAGAGTTTGCGAACTGGAAAATCACCATTTTTACGTAGATCAACTATTTCTATGACCATGTTCAATAGCTATTTTGACATAACCAGAGCCCCAAAGCTTGGAAAGTTCATGGGAAACCGCATGAGATTAGTTGCAAATCAACGTTTTCGCACATCTCGCCTCTCAAGGAGAATTGCTTCCAGGAGCCCTGCAATGTACCTGTCCAGTCTCCAGATATGGTGGGAGTTGCTACCTCCATGAAAGTTATCAAAGTGAAGCTTCCCAGATCCCCCTGGATCTCTCTGCCTCATGTGCCACTGCATCATATCCTGGCAGCTTCTGCTTTCATCAAATTCACCATGTTTGCAAACAGAAAAATAGAGCTTGGCCCACCTTGCTCCCGCGTCTCTCGCCCCGACCTTGCAATCCAGCGAAACACCAAACATCTGAAGTCGGCTTCCACAGCACTTAGGCTCAGACAGCCGGAAGCCAATCTTGGTGGACCTACGGTGGCATCTTAAATCCCTGGACCCTTCCAAAAGGTGATCCAGCAGGAAATCCAATGTGACCATAGAAAAAATATCTTTTCCATTCAAACTCTGAGGTTTCATAGTTTTTCCACTTTGGAAGCCCGGGATTTTTGTGAAATCATGGTCAACCATCAACTTTGAGAGTTTTCTCAAGATTGTCAGATCCATGTGCCGAAAAATGTGTTTTTGGGCAGTGGGAATCCCATCGAACTTCCAGCAGTGAGGGCCCCACACGAAGTGGGCCGTTTCGCAGAGTCGCAGGGCCTGGATCCCCTGGCAGCAAGGCGCTTTCCATCATTTTCCATCTCAGAAACTCCATGAATTTGTCAATCTGATCAGAAACTGATACAAATTATGGATCTCGAAATGTCAAGGACTCTAGGGTGACCTCAGTTAACTCCTGCAAAGAGATCTGCAGCTTTGGCATCTGTCGGCAGCAAGGGCCTGAAATTGCACTCCGGGTCAAGAAACTTCACCAAAGGGGTCTGGATGGTGCAAACTAGCAGTCTGATGGTGAATTTGGAATATACTCAGCACTTTGCTGGTGACTTTGGAGAATCTTTGGAGTATACTTGTTTGGGGCATACTGTAAAGAACGTGGTACAACGATGATCAATCGATCAAACTGGGGGTGTCTGAAAATATAGTGTATCTCTATACAATTGCTATATTCAAGATGACTTTAGTAACTTTGGTTACTTCAGTAGGGGACATGATGTTCTAACCCATCGAATTTTTGTACCTTTCCCCAGATCTTTCCCACCCAGTCATGGGAAATTGCTGATCGTCATCATGCCCCTGCCATGTGCCTCTTCTCCAACAACCTAGGGCAGGGCATCTTGACTTCGGGCTTTGGGTTGTCACGCATTTCTTACCATCATCCAATATTGTCCAATATCATCAAGATCCACTACTGTATCTTCCAATAACATCCTATATCATCCAAGATCGATCTGAAATCATCCAATCTTATCCAATCCAAATCATCCAACATGATCCAAGATCATCCAAGATCATCCAAAAAACGAATTCTCCTGGTTTCAAATTCATCAAAGGCCGAAAACTGCTTGGCAAACTGCGGGAAAACTGGCCATGGGGAGTCAGACTGGAAAAATCTAAAAATGGAGGTTTTAAGCCTGGGAGAACCATCGAACATCATCGAACTGCTGGGGATTTGTTTTTCAGCAAACCAGGTTTGATTACCAGAGGATATCTCAGTGACTTGAAGATACTGAACCCCTAGAAACATCTCATGCATTCCTGCCTTGTATCAAATGTGGCTACTCCAAATCTACTGACCCCGCTGTGACAAGGATCTTTGCGGGCGTAGTTCAACAGCAGCGATGCCGCTTTGTGTGAAAATTAGGTGTAGTACCCTATGCTGAAGTGTACTGAAAAAAAAACTGATTTGTGGCCATCACACTTGAAAATCATGAATTAACATCAATTAACACCAATTATCATCTATAACCAGTGGATTTGGGATAGAAAAAATCAAGGAAATCTACCCATTTTTCACCCCAAACATCAATAATCACCACACTGAGCCCCCGACATCCGCAGCTCTACCGAAGTCCATGCGAGGCACGGTGAACTGCAGCGGCCGCGGCGCTCGCGGCACTCTGCATTGCGATGGCACCTACTGAAGGAAAGAATTGATGGAAAAATTGGGCACACCACAGAAATCAACCAGCTTTGACCATAGTTAGAAACTATATCAAGTCAGCTCCATTGCATCATAGGTCTGTGTCACGTTGAACATCAGGTGCCCCCCTTCTTTCGCCTGTGAAGCTTCCCGTAGTCGGAGCGATCCCAAAATGGGAAGCTCCGGCAACGGCCTCATGGCAGGATCTCTGCAAGAAATCCAGCTGTCGTAACCCCAAAAAGATGCGGAAAATTGATGTATCATCATGTATCATGATGTATCACTATTTTAGAAGCGGATTTCTTGTCCCAAATTCTGCGTGCCGGATCAAGACAGCTGTGCCATGGTCACATCCCAAATTGGGAAGGAGATTCACTGTTGTTTTTGTTTCACATCCAAATCCCGAAATCCCTCAACAAAACAATTGTGTTTCACGACTTTTCTACCTTTTCGCCCACCTGCATCTTCTTTCTTCTGATTCTTTATCTTCTCTGAGATTCTTTCTACTGACTCTTTCTCTTCGCTGACTCTTCCCACCTCTGTTTTTCCATCTGTCCATATTGTCGGAAGTTTGACTTCAAAACTTCCTTGGACAATAGAAACAATGATGAAAAATGATAGAAATTGGTTGATTGGCCACTGCCAAAATGCCCTCCCAGCCTCCACAAAGATTTCAGCGACGGGAACCGCAGGCCTGTGCTGCATATGTGCCCCAAACTTGCACCATAACAAGTTACAGTAGGATATGGGTTTGTCTGAAAATTGATGGGAAATCCCGAAAAAAAGCATGGTTTTGCCAACAAACCCATATTTGATCCAAAGCTGATATTTTGGCTCTTTCACAACAGCTGGGTGAAGCCGGCCTTCTCTCGTCGAAGGCTTCTTCAGCCTCTTTGGAAGAGTTACAGTGTAATGACACATGCGACAAACAAAACCGTCCTGCAATACTCAAGCAACAAGACTATGCATTTGCTGGATACTTACAAGAAATATCCAAAAAGGCTGGAAAAGCATCTGATGCAAGATTGCACCGCAGACTTTCAACTCATCAAAGAACAAAACTGTCAAACATTGGATCAAGACTCCACAAGTATCCAAAAGTGTCAGAGTTTGCCAATCAGAGTGTCCCCAAATCAGTTGGTTTTGTCCAAAATGGGGCACCATCATGATGTTCTTCATGAAAATGACCATAAATCATGCTCGGTCAGTCACAGGATCAAGCTTGGGGTAATGATGTTGCAAAAGAAGCCCCAGCCCTCCTTCGCAACGTTACCAGTGACCGAGCCAAATTCGCGCACCATGGGCCCATGCAGCCACCTGACGGAAAAACTCAAACTCTTCATACATGAACAGCCTGACCAGCAAAACACGCAGTCCAAGATTGGCCTCTGCAGGTAGCGGGACGCAGCCCACGAATACGCCATTGCGCAGCAAAAAGGAAGGGGCCCAGAAGTCTTACACGGCAGTCTTGGGTTTTGGGCTTGCATGCAACTTACAGGGCCCTGTTGCTATGACTCTATGAGTCTATGAATCTTTAAAATTACGAGCACAAGACTCTAAGCCAATGTATGAAGTACTCAAGGCTCATCGCAGAATACAGCTAGACCCAAATATCTGAGGTTCATCCTCTCAATGTTGGCAGCAGGGATGCAGACATCCCCATCACGTCTTCTGCTTCTTAAAAGGAAATGCTTGGGCGCTAAATGGGAACTCTAGTGGAAAGGTGGAAACAGGCAACATTCCATGGACAACAAGGTAACCGTGTTTGAGACGTCCGGCACTTTTTTTGGGGCCCTCGCTCAAGGTTGCGCTCGCCGGCAGCTTGTCTTGGCACATCTTTCTTCGGCTTCGGGAAGTGGCCATGCTCTGCTGCAAGGGAAACATGGATCGAAACTGCTTCGAAGAGCAAAATCTGAAAGCCGCTGCATCGACCCACAAGTACAGGATAGTGATTCGTAGTTGTCACATTGTCAAACAGCCTTGATTGGCATATGTTTCTGGATCTTGTGGCCAGTGCAGTCCAAGATCTCCAAAGGTTTCTTCAATCGGTTCTCGATGTGAATGTTTATGGCAAGCTTCTGTGAAAGCTTCCACACATGTGTCAGCAAGCTGCGCATCTTCGCAGTTCCGCGCCAGTAACGAAAAGCACTCCAATCCTCTTTCTATGTCAGTGTGGTGTAAGCGGCCTGCGGTGTTGAAGATCCAGATTATGTGTTGAGCGAGCATCCGCTTGACATCCACATGATCTTTCAAATTTGCAAAGAGGCATCTCGCAACTGAGAGCATCACTGGCAACAAACGCATCATATGTTGGGAACTGTGGTGAACCAAGCGATGGAGGAACAAGTTCAGCGCCGTAGCGTTGCAATCCCACCATCTGTTCAATACCTTTGTTCCAGATCTGAAAATGCAACAATAGCCTCAAGGACCCCAGGCTGACACCAACAACTGTACTGAAGAAAACTTAAGCAAACATCAGAAAACTATCATGAAAAGCACAACACCAGGTGATAACTATCCCAAGGTGGACGTTGAAGCAACATGACAGAACTTTTCCACGGTGTCATCCGATCCTTACGCGGAACCACCCTGAAACTTTTGCAGCAACATCCAAAGACTGGTCTGTATCGAAGCGCCCAGCCTTGAAGTCCAGCAGTAAAAACAAAGTTGTAATGGACAATTGCAGTAGGCTTCTGCTTCTCTTCTTCAAGTTTGCGAGAGATTTTTGCAATTTCCTCCAGCACTTCGGGCCTAGCGCCACAAGCACTGAGAAAAACTGCAAATTTCCTTCACACGAAAAGGGGCGCGCCTCTCGGGCTTAAGAAGGTCGACAAGTTGAGCGACGAAGGCCTCAAACACAAATCTAGCGAATCTAGCGTTGCCCTGACGCGGCGCCCACAGTGACACATAGCAATCCCACTATGGCAACCTGCCTTCGTTGAGGATTCTGAAACAGATGTAGCCCGCTTTGCGCGCAAACCATGCACATCCAAATAGGACGAGATTTGGAGCGTCAACCTCGCTTCTTGCAAGCGGAACAAGAATCAGATACGGCAGAGACATCCTGCCAAGGAGCCCAGGACACAGACGGTCCCAACCGCAGGCCTTGCAAGATGCTCACGTGGCAAACCAAACAGATCAAATATGATCAGTGGGCGTCTCGTTTCTCAACTTGGCTTGCAGTGTGCTAAGAGCTTCCGACTACCTGCAGCTGCAAATGCATAACACATCATAGTTTTCTACAGATTTGTTGAGCCCAAGCCTTTGGAGTACTGCATCGCTCAGTCTCCTCGAGGGCAAGGAAGGGCTTGGGCCAAGGATGCTGAGCTCTTGGCCCAAATCGTCGGAGGTCCCCAAGTCTCCTCGAAATTGTTGGAGCTCCAAGTCTCCGGGTTCGGAAACTTCAAACTCTCCTCGTGTTGTGGGACCTGCACAGTGTGAAACAGTGAGCGAAGCTGACAATACGAGAAAAGCTAAGACTGATGCTCTGCGGTACACGTTGTCCCACCCAAGTTCCTGGCAAGAAAATGCGTGAGACAAACGCCAATCCTGGAGTGCACAAAAGACCATGAAGGATAAAATATTGCTAAACAAATTCACTAAATCGGTACACAGTAACCAATTCCGAAACATATTCAATCTGTTCGTTCTTGTTGCATAATCCTCTGGCCTGGCAGTCGCCATCGTCCAAATCCTAGGAACGGGCGCCGATTGACCACCAGAAAGGCGGCATGGTACCCGAAATACACGGAGCTTGTGGAGCTCTGAGCCAAATCGGAACGCTTTAGACTTCGAGGTACCGGGGCATCGGCTGCCTCCAAAGCGCGCATGCTTTCTTCGGAAATGCTTGGCCAATCCTGGAAAAGCCACAACGAATTTGCACATTGCAAGACGCGCATACAAACGACTAATGAACGTCCGTTATGATTTTGTGACAACTGATTCCTAAACATAACAAAGCCACTCTGTGTAATCTATTCGTTTTTGATCATTTTTGCAGACTAATCCTCTTTGTGGCCTGGCAGTCCTCGTCGTCATCCCAATCCTAAGAACGGGCCCAAGTCTGTCAAGATGTCTGTCAAGAAAACATTACTTTTGGTGCCCAAGTCTGTCCTCCGGAAGGTCGTCTGACGACGGCAGCGCTGTCTGGCCAGAGAGCCTGAAACGAACGCAGAAGTTTCCTGTGGCAAACGTGGCCTGATGGCTAGGTGCCCCTGCCTTTGGCTGTTGGTCCATGTTGCTGCTGGTGCGATGCAGTCTCCTGACCTCGGGTTTAAATTGCTTACAGATTTCAAACAGTGAAACACTAACTGATTTCTGAGGCTCAACCGAGGGGTTGTCGGAAGCGCTCCGACAAAGTCACAGGTGGCCTGTCAGAGCCCCTACGTAGGAGTTGAAACCTTTTCCATTGAAAATTTGACACAGAAAACCGGGAACTGGGATTATTTTCAGGGTACTGTATCTGGTAACGGGGTCGAAACTCGGTAAACAAGGCAGCAAAAACGCTCGTCTTTTTTCCCCGGATAGCTGCCAAGCTATAAGGGGTTCCTACTTCTCTATGGTAAGGCTCTGGGTCGACAGTTTTTTTGCCGCTGCCCTGCCGCTGCTCACGCTTGTCTCCCTTCATGTTTGTCTCCCTTGGCCTTTGTCTCCCTTCATGCTTGCCTCTGTTCATGCTTGTCTCCCTCATGTCCCAGAGGTTTGAACTTGGTGCTGTTTCGTTTCATGCTGATTTGCGACGGTTCAAAAAATCGCGACCTTGTCTTTGTTGCGCATGCTGTTGAGAATCTTTTTGTGTTGATGCGCCCGCTATCTGGGGTCTATGCTGGTGTAATTCCACAACAGAGCTGCGTCGATAAGTCATTGCTCAGCTAAACAATGCAACAAGGAAATCTCCAGGGGGCGACGGGCCCAAAGGGTCAGGGGCAATGGCTGCAGCCTGAATAGGAGCCATTTGGTCATGGCATCATGTTGGATTCAAGCTGCTGGTCAAGTTAACATGTACCTTTCAACTAACGGTACCTGGATGTACCTGGTATGTTTCATTGGGCCTTTTAGTACCAATGTGCCAAGCTTTCATACACTTTTCTGTCCACCACTCTAGCTCTCCGTCAATCATAGCATAACAAATTGTGAACGCAACAAGGCTAGGCCGCGAACAGTAGTTTGTCCAGACTATCATGCCCAACTCACAAGTCATCTACAACAGTAACTTGGCAAGTTTAGGGCTGTCACATGGCTACCATACCAGCTTTCACCTCAAGCCCCACTTCTTCCAAGACGCCTGCTGTGAGGAATACAGCGAGGGAGGCCCCCGCGGAACACACGAAGTGGCGCGGGAACTTGCCCACGGCCAGCCTGGACTGCAAGCAACGGTGGGAGCAACAGGATCAGGAAACGACATGAAAGGACCACCTGCAACACGAATGGGTGTCACTTGCAACAAATAGACATATATACATGGAAGCATCAAAAATTCCCAAAAGGGAACGGATGGGAAAATAGAAAAAAACAAGAAGATTCAGTATATAGCAGTCAAACACAGATGACTGAGAGTTGCACAGGACCATAGGCCGTCAAGACACGCCATTCGTTCTTATTCAATCTAGATGTCTGTTTCAATAAAATGCTTGCGCCGACAGAAACGAATGCATATCTTAATCATTCCACTGCATTGCATTCTTCACGCAAGCAACATGATGCAACCATTACAAAGCGGTCAGGTGCCACAATGCCATGCAACGCAATGTTCACTTTAGGGTCGAGATTGAGTTTTCTTCTGCATTGATCTCTCACTTTGTGGCATGTGATCCTGTAGTTGTCCAAAATGAGTTATGCCTAGTACGTTGGAAGTTATACCTCGTGCAGTGGACCCACTGGACTATTTGGTGTCATAGTCCGGGGGTTGCGTAAGAATCCCAATTCCTTGAAGTTGAGGGCAAATCAGTGGCCTTCACAGTACGGTACTGTCCATCCTCGGATGAAGCGTGGTGGTGTGGTCGTGGTAAACAGTTCGCAGATGTTGTCATGGCTCTTGGCAACACTTTGTCAGCCTCAAATAGCGACGCGAGTCATGAGTCCGGCGAAAAAATCTGCCAGGTCGCGTCCATGTTTTCCTCACAACTCAATCTGCAGGTTTTCGCTCAAATGACTTTTCACAACAAATTTCTCATACCTGCAGAAGCACTGTTGATCAGCGACCACTTTTTGCAAGGACGCAACGGTTGCTGGGAGACTCTCAGAATGTGCCATCTCTACAGCATTGTGCCATGGCGATTGAGTCCGCCTGTAAAGATATATAATCGCTTGCAAAAATGAACCAATAGTGTATCAATCAAAATGGTCGGGCGTCTCAAACCGTCTCAAAACAGAACCAACAAAAAACAATCACCTGAGACATCTGAGACACCAAGGTTCAAACATACCTTGTTATACCTTGCTATATTTTTGTTCTTTGGGTTGTACTCTCTTTTTGTTGCCTTTCTCATTCTGTTTCAATCTCAATGCACAGAGCTCGAAGACCAATCGCATGCTTTCTGTTTCGTCAATACCAGCAGATCAAGTCATGATGATTCTCGGTCTTGGATGATAGAGCTGTTTACAGCTCTCTGTTTCTACACGGTGGCCACTGCTATGTTTTGTGTCAAAGTGCTCTCATCTCTTGTCTGACTTTTTGCAAGGCTGCCCCAGCTTGTCGCCCACAAAACATCATGTCAATCTTCTTGTCATGGATCGGTGCACGGCGTTCCTGGCAGGCGGATAGCATAGTGATAGGATCGCCAAACACCATCTTAAGAGCCGGCCCTCTAAACTTTAAACCTTCAGCACATGGCACAAGAATGGTGGGGGCCCTGAAAATCCCGGAAGCCAACAAAATACACTTGCACTCAATTTGCACCTGCCTCGGCAGGCACGATGTCCAGGAGCGGTGCATGAACTTCTGAGAAGTATCTCGAGACCACCTGGGAGCTGGAAGCGAATGCTTCAAGGGAAGGCCCCTCGAGTCAAAATGATGCTTGAAAGTGATGCTATGCTGTGTGCTTCAAGGGAAATATCCTCTCCCTTTTTCACCTCAAATGTCGCCACTGTGGTCACTGCAACTGAATGCGAAGGCGAAAGGCAACTATCTACGGTCACCCAAGGCCAAGTGAAAATTTCGCATGCTTTTGCTATGCGCCTGAGTGTCTCCTTTCATCAACCTCAGTGCTGTGGAGGTCAGCTCATGACAAAGTCTTCGAGATGAGTTTCCATCGTGAGAATGCTATCGTTAGGTTTGGAACCACAAGATCAAACTGTTTGCTGACAGTCTCCGCTTCTCGAACTGATGCAATGTAATCTATACTTTGCTCGCACGGTTGGTTGTGTTGCTGGTTGGCTGTTGTCTTTGCATTGCTCTTGTATCCCTGGTTGATGAGTTTGTCGAAACTTGTTTGTCGACTCCCTGATGAACACACTATCGGCTCATACAGCAGCAGAAGGCGCTTGAGTGATCAAAGTCAAGCTGAATGGTCGTTTACGCACTCGTAAAGGGTTTTCTTCATGAAGGTATCGCAACACCGACCTAAAATCATCATTCCATCTTTGGGGGCACGCTGTTGATTGACAACCCGACATTTTGCTGTTTATGACGCAGAGTTGGGCCATGCGCCCAGGATTGGATGACTAATTCCCATAGGGCATAATTTTCAATTGACTAATCCCTAGACTTCTTGCAAGCCAATGCAATTCAGTATTGTGCTTAGGTGGATGTTTATGCCCAAGAAGAGTTTTGACTCTGGAGTGTCCAAAAATCGATATTGTCAATATCAACCAGTGGTTGTGGGTGATCATGAGGCATCATTATGCACTAATTACTAAGCATCATTAATCATCACAAACCCTTATTATCACTATGAACTCTACAATTCAATCATGATTGACCTTCACTAATCAGGAATCAAATGTTGGCCAAAGGTTTAAGCAGCATTGACTCAACCTTGTTGCAACCTCCAAAAGGTCAACCAAACAGGGAACTGCCCTCCATTTGATCAGCACTCTCTCAGGCTGGGACTGTGCAGGCTGCCGCGGTCGGCCTAGGGCAGTGAACCGATGATCATTTATCAACACTGAGCAGCCTTAGATCAACCAGTTTCCATCTATTCCATCAGTGGATGATGATGATGATGATGATGATGATGATGGAACGTTCATGAACGTTAACACCATCTATTACACTCGTTCATGAACATCCTGCTAAACGTTAAATGGTTCCACTTGCCCTTTGCGTGAAAACAGCTGGCATAAATTGAAAACAGCGTGTTTGCTTTCCACATAAATTGGAAATTTCAAAGAAACACGTTCATCAGAAACACGCCGTGGCTGGGATGGTGGGATTACTTGGCTGGGCTGCTTGACTTGTCCCATCTGCCAAAGTGTGGTTCAAGGGGCCTGGAAAAAAAACAGGATTATTGCAGGAATGCCCTGCAATGATCAAAGGGTCACCGCAAGAAACATCCAAATGACAAACCAGGTCATCACTGTGATTCCAGTGCCGGGCATTCAGTGCAACAGCTGTCCATTCGTCGCCTTGGTTTCCATTTCTGCGCAGCGACTTCCTCTGCGACGGCCTCACGATCCCAACAGACTCTGCAACAGGTTGCAGTTGGGATCCAAACTTTTCACAGAAAGGTCTCCTAGAAATCCACCTTCAAAAGAAAGGAGTTCCTTACATGTTGAGTTGGAAACTCCTGGAGTCTGACCTTCCATGGACTTCCTGGTGTCAACTCCTGGAGTTCAACATGGCTCATCAGGTGAAGCTCCATCAGGCCATCCTGACAGCGCCCAAGGATGTGAGTCGTAGATGCGAAACGCCAGTGCTACGGCAACGTTGGGAATGACGTGAACTCAAACGGGTGGACATCAATATGCGCCAACAATATGCATCAATAGTCCATTCATGTCGTTCTCTGCATGATTGGGAACTTCAAACAGTTCAAAGACTTTGATCTACTTGCTTAATCAGATTCAATTTGCAAGCATTGTGTCTATAGAATCAGGAACCCAGGTACCAAATCAGATCAGGCTTGCCACAGTTTGTTGGACGGAGTGGAGGACTTAGAAACACCACGGCTGATGCCTCTTCGTCTTCCTTCTTCCATTCACCATCCTGTGGAGCAAGAAAACTGAGGTCTTCACTAAACAAGACTAGCTGAAGTCATTGGAACAACGGGGCCGTCATTCGAACTGTTCGAAAGAGCTGATTAAACACCAACTGACACGTCATTGACGCAACTGCAACTAGCAAAAGAAGTTCATTTTGAGCGACACTTAGATGACTTGAAAACAATTGAAAATCAAAATAAAACCTCAAAAAATTGGGATTATCTCACCAACACCTGCACCTGCACCTGGTGTCACTTCGAGTGCGACTCAAAGAATCAGTTGCCCGGAGAAATCTGAGAATCGAGCATCGTTCGGGCTGTGAAAATGGGAGATGCCCATCATTTTTGGCCTTGAAAAATATGGGGATTTTGGACAATTATGATAGTTAAACCAATGGACTTTTGGATACATCCAGACCTGGCCTGCACCAGTGAGCCTTCGCCAATCTCGAGCCTGTCCGTCGCATCCAAACCGAGATCAGAAGTGTCTCTAAAACAACAGCTATAGCTGGATCTAAATTATTTGAATCATCTTAACTCCACCTGTTTTATAGTGAAACCACAATTTTCACATGCAAAAAAGTCTGGAGATAATATGGAGATCTTGACCCATCCAGCCGACAAAAAGAGAAACGAACCTCTTCCGTCCAGTAAGGAGCTCTTCCATCGAAGCCCGGCTCGGAAAAACCTGTGAGATTCTGTTGTGACTTCCCAATGACCTTAACTGGTTGGTGGTTTTAACCCTGTTGAAAAATATGAAAGCCAATGGGAAGGATTATCCCGTATATTATGGAAAATAACCCAAATGTTTGAAACCACCAACCAGTTAATTATCTTAATTTCAGTTCCCAGTCGAGTATTTCTATCTATTTCTATAGTATTGGTTTCCACTCTCAGCCACAAAGCCACAAACCCATCTGGCACATCTGACCTGTCGAGACTTCTGACCACATCGTACCGAAAGCAACGCTTGTGGAGGCAACCTGAAAGCAAAGGGTTAAAGCCAGTGGATTTTAGCTCCTACGGTGGTCCGGGGTTTATGTAAATGGTCCCTGAAAAAATGTCAAAAAAAATGTCGACCCACAAATGACCATTTACACAGCTTTGCCTGTAGGATATACCACACCAAACTGTCGTTTTTTAATGGATAATGATTATTATATAACGGATGTAAGGTTTGTCCCGAAAGAATCAAACAATCTCAAACAAAGGAATCCCCATAGATCCCAATAGTTTGTACAGATATGTTCATCCAATAGTTTGGTTGATAGGTTTTCATCCCAGAAAAATGCGGCCAAAAAGATGGTGGTTAATGGTCATCCAATCACATCCGATGGGGAATCCCATATCTGTTCTTAATCAATCCCTATGAAAGTGGCTTTAGTTATCCCCAACGGATTCTTATAAATTCCCCATGAAAATGGTTTCATTGATGTTCATTTCACCATACCAAGATGATTTTTTCTACATGAAAAAAAGGCTGGAGTTTTCATGACATTTCATGACCACCCCCCAACTCATGGCTTCATCACTGGCTCATCACCCCCTGGGCGATCCAAACCCTTCAGGAAAAAATGGTGATTTCTGGCGGTTTTGCTACGGCCTGAAAAATAGAGGGAGAACAGGGTTAACGATCAACCAATAGGTGAAAAATACGGGATATGATGATTGGTGATAGTGGCGATATGTTCTTTTGGTGTGGACAATGTGGGGGACATCAATTTTAGGCTATAAACAATTGGGAATATCTGGGGAATATCTGGAACAAATCCGGGAATCTGATGATCATGATTCACCACTGGAGTTGGGGCATTCCCAAGGTGAGAACCTACAGGAAAAGTCATGGAAAAGTCATGATTTTTACGACTGATCTTAGTCTCCTCCAGTATTTAGGGATATTTCGGCTGAAAAATCGGAAGGGGATGTCCCATCATCCTCCCACCTCCTGGCACGCGACCAAGTCTGCTATGAAACTGAAGGGATTCTGTGGCCTGGTGGTCAGCGGGATCGAAAAGGATGTGTCGAAAAGTGCTTGGACCGGTAAACGTTTAGAGTTTGCGAACTGGAAAATCACCATTTTTACGTAGATCAACTATTTCTATGACCATGTTCAATAGCTATTTTGACATAACCAGAGCCCCAAAGCTTGGAAAGTTCATGGGAAACCGCATGAGATTAGTTGCAAATCAACGTTTTCGCACATCTCGCCTCTCAAGGAGAATTGCTTCCAGGAGCCCTGCAATGTACCTGTCCAGTCTCCAGATATGGTGGGAGTTGCTACCTCCATGAAAGTTATCAAAGTGAAGCTTCCCAGATCCCCCTGGATCTCTCTGCCTCATGTGCCACTGCATCATATCCTGGCAGCTTCTGCTTTCATCAAATTCACCATGTTTGCAAACAGAAAAATAGAGCTTGGCCCACCTTGCTCCCGCGTCTCTCGCCCCGACCTTGCAATCCAGCGAAACACCAAACATCTGAAGTCGGCTTCCACAGCACTTAGGCTCAGACAGCCGGAAGCCAATCTTGGTGGACCTACGGTGGCATCTTAAATCCCTGGACCCTTCCAAAAGGTGATCCAGCAGGAAATCCAATGTGACCATAGAAAAAATATCTTTTCCATTCAAACTCTGAGGTTTCATAGTTTTTCCACTTTGGAAGCCCGGGATTTTTGTGAAATCATGGTCAACCATCAACTTTGAGAGTTTTCTCAAGATTGTCAGATCCATGTGCCGAAAAATGTGTTTTTGGGCAGTGGGAATCCCATCGAACTTCCAGCAGTGAGGGCCCCACACGAAGTGGGCCGTTTCGCAGAGTCGCAGGGCCTGGATCCCCTGGCAGCAAGGCGCTTTCCATCATTTTCCATCTCAGAAACTCCATGAATTTGTCAATCTGATCAGAAACTGATACAAATTATGGATCTCGAAATGTCAAGGACTCTAGGGTGACCTCAGTTAACTCCTGCAAAGAGATCTGCAGCTTTGGCATCTGTCGGCAGCAAGGGCCTGAAATTGCACTCCGGGTCAAGAAACTTCACCAAAGGGGTCTGGATGGTGCAAACTAGCAGTCTGATGGTGAATTTGGAATATACTCAGCACTTTGCTGGTGACTTTGGAGAATCTTTGGAGTATACTTGTTTGGGGCATACTGTAAAGAACGTGGTACAACGATGATCAATCGATCAAACTGGGGGTGTCTGAAAATATAGTGTATCTCTATACAATTGCTATATTCAAGATGACTTTAGTAACTTTGGTTACTTCAGTAGGGGACATGATGTTCTAACCCATCGAATTTTTGTACCTTTCCCCAGATCTTTCCCACCCAGTCATGGGAAATTGCTGATCGTCATCATGCCCCTGCCATGTGCCTCTTCTCCAACAACCTAGGGCAGGGCATCTTGACTTCGGGCTTTGGGTTGCCACGCATTTCTTACCATCATCCAATATTGTCCAATATCATCAAGATCCACTACTGTATCTTCCAATAACATCCTATATCATCCAAGATCGATCTGAAATCATCCAATCTTATCCAATCCAAATCATCCAACATGATCCAAGATCATCCAAGATCATCCAAAAAACGAGTTCTCCTGGTTTCAAATTCATCAAAGGCCGAAAACTGCTTGGCAAACTGCGGGAAAACTGGCCATGGGGAGTCAGACTGGAAAAATCTAAAAATGGAGGTTTTAAGCCTGGGAGAACCATCGAACATCATCGAACTGCTGGGGATTTGTTTTTCAGCAAACCAGGTTTGATTACCAGAGGATATCTCAGTGACTTGAAGATACTGAACCCCTAGAAACATCTCATGCATTCCTGCCTTGTATCAAATGTGGCTACTCCAAATCTACTGACCCCGCTGTGACAAGGATCTTTGCGGGCGTAGTTCAACAGCAGCGATGCCGCTTTGTGTGAAAATTAGGTGTATTACCCTATGCTGAAGTGTACTGAAAAAAAAACTGATTTGTGGCCATCACACTTGAAAATCATGAATTAACATCAATTAACACCAATTATCATCTATAACCAGTGGATTTGGGATAGAAAAAATCAAGGAAATCTACCCATTTTTCACCCCAAACATCAATAATCACCACACTGAGCCCCCGACATCCGCAGCTCTACCGAAGTCCATGCGAGGCACGGTGAACTGCAGCGGCCGCGGCGCTCGCGGCACTCTGCATTGCGATGGCACCTACTGAAGGAAAGAATTGATGGAAAAATTGGGCACACCACAGAAATCAACCAGCTTTGACCATAGTTAGAAACTATATCAAGTCAGCTCCATTGCATCATAGGTCTGTGTCACGTTGAACATCAGGTGCCCCCCTTCTTTCGCCTGTGAAGCTTCCCGTAGTCGGAGCGATCCCAAAATGGGAAGCTCCGGCAACGGCCTCATGGCAGGATCTCTGCAAGAAATCCAGCTGTCGTAACCCCAAAAAGATGCGGAAAATTGATGTATCATCATGTATCATGATGTATCACTATTTTAGAAGCGGATTTCTTGTCCCAAATTCTGCGTGCCGGATCAAGACAGCTGTGCCATGGTCACATCCCAAATTGGGAAGGAGATTCACTGTTGTTTTTGTTTCACATCCAAATCCCGAAATCCCTCAACAAAACAATTGTGTTTCACGACTTTTCTACCTTTTCGCCCAC